GGCAGTGGTGGTACTGGTCTCCAGTCCCAGCACTTGGGAAGCAGAGGCAGGCCTGGTCAGTAAAGCAAGTTCCAGGACAGCCAGAACCGTGACACAGAGAAACCCTGTCTTGAAAAACCAAAACAGAAGATAAAATGCCAAAGGCTTTGTAACTTTTGTCAGCTTTAAGTTTATGTTAGGCAGGTCATCTTTCATAGGGTTAACAACCCTTAACCCAGAATCTAGACTTTTTTTCAAGCATTTTCTTTTTATTTTGTTTTATTTATTTGTTATGTATACATCATTCCTGCATGAACACCAGAAGAAGACACCAGATCTCATTATAGATGGTTGTGAGTCACCACATGGTTGCTGGGAATTGAACTCACGACCTCTGGAAGAGCAGTCAGTGCTCTCAACCTCTGAGTCATTTCTCCAGCCCCAGAATCCAGACTTTTAAAGAAATGACTTTCAGTATAAATAAAATAGAAGGCTTTGGGTTTTAAAGACACAGAACCTAACCTCATCAGTCCTGGGCACCAACGCTTGGTTCTTAAATTACTACCATTAGTTTTTAATTGAACAAGAGTCTTGAGAAGCCCGTTTCATAAAGGAGGAGTGCACAGGAGAACAGGTAATATCTTTTATACTTTAACATCATAAGTGTAAGTTAAAATGTATCTAAATGTAAGCATTATCTTAAGATTTAATAACATCTATGTTTATTACGTTTGGAGTGAGTGTACATAGGTTTTAAGGCACTGCCTCTAATTTTCATTGTGAGAGGGGAATTTAACATATAGATCTTTGGTAAACATTTTACTCATCATTTTACATATGTAACAGCCTTATTAGTGAAAATCTTACGTTTCTCACTGGCATAATAAGAACATTTTTTTTTTTTTTGGTTTTTATGAGACAGGGTTTCTCTGTATTGTTTTGGAGGCTGTTGGTCCAGCCCGGCCTCATACTCACAGAGATCCGCCTGCCCCTGCCTCCTGAGTGCTGGGATTAAAGGTGTGCGCCACCAACACCCATCTTAATAAGAACATTTCTGAGAATGGCAAGTATGGTGAGTGCACATGCCACCTTTAATCCAAGCACTTAGGAGGCAGAGGCAAGAGGATCTCTGTGAGTTCAAGGCCAACTTGGTCTATTTGGTGAGTTCTAGGCCAGCTAGGGCTACATAGTGAGCTTCTGCCTGAAAAAAAAAAAAGAATACTCTTGAAAAATAAATCCAAAACAATCTAATAAGATAATTTTAAATGTATATTATTTAGAGGTATTTTGAGTAATGTAAAACATTTTTATTGTCTATTATGTTTTGTTATTTATGACTTTTAAAAAGCAAAATAGAATTGTTTTCTTCCAGAACTTAGTTTTGAAGGAAATCTACCAAAATCTATGTATATAATGTAAAATTTCATGGAACTTTTTTAGTTTTTTGAGACAGGGTTTCTTTGTATCTTTGGAAGCTGTCCTGGAACTCACTTTGTAGACCAGGGTGGCCTGAAACTCACAGATTCGCCTGCCTCTGCCTCCTAAGTGCTGAGATTAAAGGTGTCCGACACCACTCCCCGGCTAAACAATGTTTTTAAGACGTTGGACACCTGATCTCATGGCACTAATGAATATTACTTTATATGAGTAAGCAGCAGCATTTTAGGTCTTATGAGGGGCTGGCTGGATGTATGGAGTCACTTGGTGCCAAGCCTGATGACCGGAATCGATCCCTCAACACACACAGTGGAAGGAGAGACCTGACTGCTTCAAGTTGTCCTCTGACCTCCACAAGTGTGCTGACACACGAGTACCTACACACACACACACACACACACACACACACACACACACACACACATACACGCACACACACTCACACACACTAAATAAATGCTACATTTTAAAAAGTTTTATGAAATGTTCAGTAGACCCAAAGTCACCACGTTGATACGTTCTAAGACATTAAGAGTGGCCAATTTTTAAGACAGGATACATCTATCAGGCCTTTGAATGTCATCTACAAACATTCATATTTATACACGAGCCCACACTCAGGTTACAATAGACATGCCAAAAGAGAAAATAAAAAGTAAATTTAGTGCACACTTAAAAAAAATGAATGAGCAGGCTGTGGTGGCACACGCCTTTGATCCCAGCACTCGGGAGGCGGAGGTGAGTGGATCTTTGTAAGTTTGAGGCCAGCCTCCTCTACAGAGTGAGTTCTAGGACAACTAGGGCTGTTACACAGAGAAAACCTGCCTCGAAAAACCAGAAAAGAAAAAAAAAAAAAGGAAAAACCTGAAGTAGCTACAGGTTTTGTTCCCCAGTTAAGTCAGAGGTTCCAGAGACAGGGAGAGTATCAAATGTAAACAACCATGAACACACGTCAGGACTATGTTAGTGAAGACAGACTTTTTCTCTCTGTCTTTGGAGGCAGACTCTTGGGGCCTCAGTAGTTCTGACTTTTGTTTTCCCATCGGTGTGTTCCATCTGGACCTTCAGTCCTGCGGTAGGGTCACGCCAGGGTCCCTTCCTTCAGGCCATAATGTGAACAGTAAGAAGGCAGAGTTATGGGTCAGAGGGTAAAGCCTGTCCATTTGGGTTAGTGAGTTCTCAGAACAGTCTTTGGGCAGTAAAGAGAGGACAATAGGCCTGGTGTGACAGGAGGCAGGAAATCTGGGTCTTTGAAGTCCCATGACGCCAAAGCGAGAATATGAGGAGCGACAGCAATTAGTACATGCTGGTTCTTTGTCATGCTCTGGGAGTCCTTAGAGAAGCACCCCAACTTTTTCTTGTACAGCTGAAGGCCGGTGGCTGAAAAAGGAACATGAGCTCTCATTGTCCACAGTGTTGTAGAGAAGAGATGGGTGACAGTACCGCACCTGTGCGTCCCTCAGACTTCCTGCCTCCTTTGGAGATGGAGTGAGTCACGTATGGAGGTGGCCTGGGACTCCTCAGAGTGGGAGAAACGTAGTACCTGAGTCCTGTTGCCCACCGCTGCTGTTTGCCGGGTGGGGTGTGAACGCTAAAGGGACACACGTAGGCTGGCAGAGGTTACTGCATTGCACCCTACGCCTGTGAGAAGCACATCTTTTCATTTTCAGCTGTTCCTGCCAAATTGGTCCTGCTGCGGGACGATGCTGTAGTTTAATTTCCTGTCTATCGGAATTTCCCCATCACCCAGCTTGTACTGAGGCCAGAGGAGATTCCAGTAAAATCGCAGCTTCCTTCCCTTCATACTTTCAGGATAAACCTTATTCCAGTTCTTGAGGCTGAACAGTCGCAGAGTCCCGAGGGACAGGCTTAAGGGAAAGTGACAAGTGTCAGGGCCTCTGAAGAGAGCATTCCTCTTGTCCTCCAAGTCGTGAAGGACGCCTGGTGGGCTAGAGCTGTCCTCATCATCTGTTACCCAGGCATCCCAAGGCAGCCTGAGAGGAGCCACAGAAGGGTCTGAGAATCTGGTTTGGGTCCGAACCCATGGCTCACATTGTCACATTGTCACATTGTCTGTGAGTCCTGTGGACTTGTCCCTGCTGTGCCTTCCCTGAGATCATTTCTTTTATCTTGGTGAATTAAGTTAATTCTCCCAAGAAGGGGAGTTAGGAACCAATACAATTCCTGAGCTATTGGGCTGCTATATCAGGGACGAGACTGAGTTTTATGAATGGTTTTGCCCTTTTGATTTGGTTTTAAATTGTCACCTCCTTTGAACCTCATATTCAGGAGACTCTTATCACTTGGGGAATTATCTCTATTCTTGGGGATAGAACTATCTGCAGTGGAGGAACACAGAGCAATTGAGAGCTGTTAGGGTACAGTGGAGAAATAACAAGGCATTGATGTAGAGATGTGGACAGTAGGTTAGCTAAGAGTCCCCTGGGGGTCCGCATGTGAGGTCAGCTGGCTTTAGGACCCCGAGGGAGACAGAGTCAGTGCAGGTCTCTGAGGGAATTATCTCTGTGTGATAAGAGTTTGGCAGGAGCCACTTTGTGTCCTGTCCACAGCCCTGCCTGCCATTCTTGTCATCTTGGTGGGTGCCGGGGAAGGCCAAAGGAAGGGAGAATAAAAGTGGATGAGTGAGTATCCACCACACAGGAAGTGAGACTGTGGCACCGTCTTTACTGGCACCGGCATGGCTGCCCCGTATCTGGTCATCCACTGGTCAGTGGTCACCTCCCTGTATCTCCCAGATTCAGCCCATTTGAAGTACCACTCTACGCGCAATTGATGGGCAGCGTGTGTGTCGCTGATGTACACCCCAGGAGGGCCAAGCACATCACTGGCCCTTGGCCACATGGGCTATGGAAGAAAGACAGGAAGGGAGAGGGCCCCCATGCTTGCCCACCTCCAAGTGCTCTGGGCTAAAGGAAAGGGGAGAGCAAAGAAGGAAGCCGAAATAAGAAAGAGCACAGATTACCCCCTGGCCAGCTTGCCAGTTTCAGGTGTAGATCTGAGTCCAGGGTGTACCTGCTGGATTTCCAGGCTCTTGCATCCCAGAACATGTAATAATAGAACTAGAGTTGGTTTATTAAGAAAGGAAAAATGCCCTCCTTTGGGTGGGAAGGCAGATGCTCAAAGGTTCAATGCCATGTGAGTTCTGACCCTTCCTAGGGTATCTGCATAGCACCCACCTTTGTATTCAACACCGGGGGCATTTTTCAAGCATGCCATGTTTGCTACATACAGCCAGAATGATGCTTTTTGCTGTGCCAAATGGACAGCTACATGATCCCCATGAGTTTGGACCCTGTCTTCTGTCTTCTGTCTGTCTGTCCGTCCGTCCGTCTGTCTGTCTGTCTGTCTCTCCCTCTGCCTCTCTCTCTCTCTCTCTCTCTCTCTCACACACACACACACACACACACACCCCACATCACCACCCAAAGTGGGTGTAGACATTATTGCAATAGCTAAATTTATAATTGAAAATCTTAGATAAATCTAATCTTGGTGACATTGTCTGTGTGAGTGATTCTTAGACACACCACTGAAAATGCAAGCAATCAAAGACATAGACTTCATCAAAATTAAAAACATTTATGTTTTAAAGGACATCATAAAAAGTAGCTCTAAGGTTAAAGAATTGTTTTATAAATGATTTTTTGGACACTCCCCAGTCCTCTGTGGAGCGGAGACATTGCCACTGGCTCTTGTAGCAGTCTGGGCAGGGAATGCAACCTGACCGACTAGAGCTCCCTCTCCAGTAAGAAGCTACAATCCGGAATATGTAAATGATATAATTCAACAACAAAAAGACAGACATTCAATTTAAAGGTGGCAAAGGGGCTGGCAAGATGGCTCCGCGGGTAAAGGGGATTGCCACCAGGTGTGACAACCTGTGTTCCATCTGGGTGACTCTGCAACCAGAGTCTTTCCCAGAGAAAGGAGAGAATCAAGCTGTCCTCTGATTTCCACACTGTGGCACACGTGCACCCCCATAAAATATACTAATGTTTTAATTAGTCAAGGATTTGAATACTCATTTACCTAAAGAAAATAACCAAATGGCTGATGAGTGGTGGACACTGCCCAGCGCATCAGACGGTAGAGAAATGCAGGTCAGAACCACAGTGAGGCACCTTTCCAGCCTCACGAACACAGCAACAAGGGAAAGCTTGTGATCTAGTGACATTTCCCTCGTAACTATAGCCAAGATAAGCAAAAACATATGTAGATATTCATAATAATTCATAATTATAGCCCCAAAGCAGAAATAACCCAAATGTCCATAAATTGATGACTGGATAAGTAAAAATGTGTTATTTATGTAGAGGAATATAATTGTTATTTGTAAGTAGCAATTAAGAACTGATACAGGCCAGGTGGTGTTGGCACACACCTTTAATCCCAGCACTCGGGAGGGAGAGGCAGGCGGATCTCTGTGAGTTTGAGGCCAGCCTGGTCTACAGAGTGAGTTCTAGGTTAGCCAGGGCCACACAGAGAAACCCTGCCTCAAAAAAACCCACCCACCAACCCATCACACAGAATGAATACAGGCTGCATGGAAGAAACTTAACACACTAAAGGAAAGAGGTCACAAGCAGACGTGCCAATGAACACCTATAACTCCAGCCCCTGGGAGACTGAGACATCAGGATCGTAAGTTCAAGACCAGCCCTATACTGTATAGTCAGATCCTGTCTCAAAGGCAAGCAAGCCAGATATCAAGAAAGTGTATCTTAGAAATGTGTGCGTGTGACACAGGAGCAGCTAATGTCAGCACAGCACAGCCCCTGCCCCTGTGAGTTGAAGAGGCTCAGACCCCTTTGAGCAGCCGAGCAGTGTGAGAGAGGGCATGGAGGGCAGGATAGAGTTTGGGAGCTTGTGAGAACAGCTTTAAATGAAGACCACAGTTTATGCTCATCTTGTTATCGATGTATATGTATAGGTATGTAGTTATAGTTATAATATATGCATAGTATATATAGCAATATATGCATGTGTATATCTAATTATACATACATATTTACTATACATACACATGTATGAGTATGTGTAGTGCTGGGTTCAGAACCTAGGCAAGCACATGCTAAGCAAGGACTACCATTTATTTATACCCCAGAGACATAGCAGTGGACACTCTATTACTAATGGGATAAAAAGATCACAGTACTACTATGTACGGTGGGATGCATTTTAGCCACTTAGTGATGAAGACAAAATGTAAAGGAAAAGTATAAGCAGAGTGCCAACTTATGCACGGTATAGTCTAGACATGAGACAGAATGAATGCTGGTCTGAGGTGTGCCAAGTGCCTTTGTTCTCTGGTTGGTGGGATCGTGTGCCCCCCCCCCAACGTCTCTGCCTCTGTCTTTCTGTCCTCCTATCTCCTGGGGATGCCACCTCTTTGCTCTAGGGCTGCTGGGAGGCACAGGGCTAGAGAAATGGATCTGAAAACGTAGGAACAGACTCTGAGCAAGTGCTGGAGGCCAGTACAGGCAGCCAAGGCTCCCGGTGTCCTTGTGTCGTGGAGACAGGCAGAGTGCAGGCCGGGCCATTCTGTGAAGTCAGGGAGCACAGAGTCCTGCTCCTTCCGAGAGCTGTGGAGGTTAGATGCAAATCCCCACATTCCTAGATGTGTATGACACAGGAAAGCGGTCTCTAGGCTTTGGAGCCAGGCCGGTCTGTCAGGCTCGAGTGACCTCAGGATTGTTTAGCTCTTTGAGTCTGTTTCCCCAGCTGTTAAGTGAGAAGCATGTAAAAAACAAACCCAAAACACAACTAAAAACCCTCACCTCAGATCGTAGTTTGGATTGGCAGCTCACATGCAGTAGGTCCCTGTCACAGCCCTGAGCATGCATTGCTGAGGGCCATTGTCTCTGCACACTGTGGACTCCGCACCTTTGCGCTGCAGAGGGAGAAACAGACAAAAGTCTTTAGCTTGGAAACGTCTCCTGGTCCTTAGGACAGAGCTTCTGGAATATTTACCTTGCTCTCTTCCTCTCACCCTCAGCTGTCCCCTCTGCCACCATGAGAAACATCTTCAAGAGGAACCAGGAGCCCATCGTGGCTCCTGCCACCACCACCGCCACGATGCCTGTCAGACCTGCCGACAACTCCACAGAGAGTACAGGCCCTGGAGAGAGCCAAGAAGACATGTTCGCCAAGCTGAAGGAGAAATTCTTCAATGAGATCAACAAGATCCCCTGTGAGTGGCCCTTGTGGTCCGTGACATGATTGGGCCTGAGGAGTGGGGTGCTGCTGGGCTGGGCTGGGCTCTTTCTTTGGGTCTCAGCTTGGATTTTTCAGGCAATCCTATCAGGCATGGGCTGGGAGTATGTTCTGAAATTAAGGAGGCCACCAAAGGGACTTGTTACATGGGCCAAGCTTTAGTGGGTGAGTTCAACTCTAAATACAACTTTAAAATCCTGCCAAAGGATAAAAGTAAAAGGTGAAGCAATATGAGATAGGAATCATTATTCAGGTTTTCCAGTAGCATTTAGAAACTGCTTTGTTTTGCAGTGAGGAAAAGGAGGCTTTCTGAACCCCTGGCAAAGGCTCTCCACGAGGAACTAGGGTCCCCTCTGCAGGATCAGCAAACTGTTGGAACCAGGGGTTCGGGACAGCAGAGAGCATTGTGGGGGCGGGGGTGGTGGTGGTGGTAAGGGTTCCCCTGTCCCTCTGGCTAAGCAAGGCCAGCCTTCTAGGGGAGCTAGAGCTCTGGAAACTTCTCTGAGTCTGGGCCAGGCCTCTGAGGACTGTCCCAGGACCAGGCTCCACAGGGCTCCTCCTTCCCTTGGCTGTCTTGAGGTCAGCCAGTTGTGCAAAGATCAAGTAACTGAAACACTAGAGTAAGCCCAAGCTGCTCTCCCTCCTCAGATCCTCCAGGCTGCTAACCCGACAGGCTGTGTCCACAAGGGGGCGGCTAAGAGCTGGGTATCCATACACCTCATGGATGTGTGGCTAAAAACGTGGGGATGGAGAATGGGGGAGTCCCAAGCCACTTTGTTTGTCCTGCCTGGGGTGAGGGCTTGTGAGGCGCAGAGTGCTGACTCTGGGGCTCTGTGTGTGGGCAGTGCCGCCCTGGGCTCTGATCGCCATGGCTGTGGTCGCTGGTCTCCTGCTGCTCACCTGCTGTGTCTGCATCTGCAAGAAGTGTTGCTGCAAGAGGAAGAAGAACAAGAAGGAGAAGGGCAAGGGCATGAAGAATGCCATGAACATGAAGGACATGAAGGGCGGCCAGGTAGGGTGCTGGGGAGGGGCGGGGCGGGGAGGGGTGGGGAGGGGCGGGGAGGGGCCCTGCCAGCTTTCCCGGTGCTGAGAGGTGAGGTGACTCTGCCGGACTTCCTCCTTTGTATGAGCTCTTCGCTCCTCGCGGGCTCACACTCTCCACACAGGCCACGACGGTGGCACCTATAGCATCAGGTCAGTCACCCCAAGCTGCAGGTCAGGGACTTAAGTCCATGTTAGCATGAGCTAGCTCACCCTTCAAAAGGCAAAAGAAAAGGAACAACATATGGGCTCCCAAAGAAGGCCACCAGATTAGGTGCTAGACACCCATGATGACTACAGGAAGATGCCACTAGGTACCATCAAGTTTTCCTGCCAGGAGAGACTGCAGGACGGATACAGCTGGCTGCGTGGGGTCAGGGCTCAGAGGAGGCAGGGGTAAGGCTCGAAAGCACCAAGACGGGATGACGTGGAATCCGTCACTCTCACAAGGATGTTTTGATCCTGGCCTGTTGGTGCTGGTTTCAGCAGGTCCCTTGGCTGTCAGTCCCTCCGCTTAAGTTTAGAGTCAGGTGCTTCACGGTCCTCTTTTGGAGGAGTCTTTTCTCAAGGCACTATAATGAAGGCCGGAAGCAGGGACTGACTTCGAAAGGCAGCCAAGGGTCACGATGGCTTTCAGTGATCACGTGTCTGCGTGCCTCGGTGGGCCTCAAAGGAGCCTACGGTGTGTCTGTGTGCGTGTGCCTGGTGTGTATGTATGCACATCTCTGTGTTAGTGTGTGTATGCATGCATGTATATGTGCTTGTATGTGTGTTCCTGTGTAGATGCATGTGTGTATATGTGTGCGTGCAACCCAAACTGATTTCCCCAAGCAGCAGGCTGGCTTCAGCTGAAGGGTTTGCTCTCATATCGCTTCTTTCCCTTTCTGCTTCTCTGGATTTGCCCTGCTCCTGGCTGCCTGGACCGCAATCCTGGTATGTCTCATACAGGGTGGGTAAATCAGCAAAGGGCTCATAGGGCTTAAGAAGGGAAGTGATTCCCTGACACAGTTTCTTTCCTGCCTGGCCCCACTGCTAACCCCAAATAAACACGCAGACTTATATTAATTAGAAACTGTTTGGCCGATGACTTAGGCTTCTGTTGGCTACTGGCCAACGAGTGTTTTATTCATCAACCAATAAGAGAAACATATATACAGAAGGACACCCCCTGTCAATTCCCCTGTCTCAAGAAGCTAGCTGGCCTGTGGCATGGTGCCTGACCCCACAGGGAGGAGAGATTCTTGCCGAAGCCATGCCTTCCAAGTGTGGGGCCGAGTGTCTGCCCTGGGGTCTTGATGAGCTGGGGGCCGGGCGAGCCCCTGCACATGCCCCTCTCCCATCCACCTCACATGCTGGCTTCTGTGGTCTGCCTCGTACCCGGAAGGGCTGAGTCAGGGTTTGGGCACTCTGTGCCCTTGTGAAGGATGGCTGCTGCTGTCTCCTTTAACCCCTTTCTCCCACCCGCAGGTCTCCTAGGATGACGACGACGCAGAGACAGGCCTGACTGAAGGAGAAGGTGAAGGCGAGGAGGAGAAGGAGCCAGAGAACCTGGGCAAATTGCAGTTTTCTCTAGACTACGATTTCCAAGCCAACCAGGTGTGTAGGGCTGGGCAAGCAGGGCAGGGTGTGGGCAGAAGTGGGTGCCTAGAGACAGGTGGGCCTCGCCTCTTTCCGTGGAGTGGGGCCGTTGGAAGCCACAGGGCAGATACAGCCTGTGGTTTGGACCGCCCGTCTCCTCTGGGGAAGGTCCAGGTGAACTCTTCCTAGACTCTCTTTTCGGTAGGGGTGGGAGGTCAGCGGGAGACCCCACTGGGGCGAGATGAGACTGAGGCACCCTTTCTCCACAGCTCACCGTGGGCGTCCTGCAAGCTGCTGAACTCCCTGCCCTGGACATGGGTGGCACTTCAGACCCGTATGTCAAAGTCTTCCTCCTCCCAGACAAGAAAAAGAAATATGAGACCAAGGTGCATCGGAAGACGCTGAACCCCGCCTTCAACGAGACCTTCACTTTCAAGGTGATAGAAACCGGGAGGTGGACCCCAGCCCCCCTCTGCCCCTGTGTCCTGCACACCGTTCCCTGGTCCGCAGCCATGATCGGAGCCCTGGGACATGCTCAGTGCGGCATAGTAGCAGGCTGCAGTGGCCTCTCCCATCTCACACGCTGGTTTCCACAATCTGCCTGGTCCTCTGGGCAATACAGGCCCAAGCCCGGGGCTCTTCCCATAGCGTCCCCCCCAGAAGTGCTCAAGCTACTTTGGCCCCCTTTGACCCTGTCTGTGCCCTACAGGTGCCATACCAGGAGTTAGGAGGCAAAACCCTGGTGATGGCCATCTACGACTTTGATCGCTTCTCTAAGCATGATATTATCGGAGAGGTGAAGGTGCCCATGAACACCGTGGACCTTGGCCAGCCCATTGAGGAGTGGAGAGACTTGCAAGGCGGGGAGAAGGAAGAGGTAAGAGTGGAGAGGCCAGGCCTCTCCGAGCTCAAGCGGGCTTGCTCCTCCACAGGGGTTACGAAGAGTCGAGGTTGGAGTCAGGTCTGCTGGCTGAGGGTCCAGCTCCCCACTGCCCGGCTGCTGACGCAGGACAAGTTGCCGCTGCTTTTGTTAATCATTGTCGTCCTCCTCCTCCGTGTGCTTTTTTTCTTTTCTTTCTCAAGTATAGAATAGCCCTGGACTATTCTAGAACTTGCCCTGTAGATCAGGCTGGCCTTAACTCATAGAGATTAGCCTACCCCTGCCTCCAGAGTGCTGGGATTAAAGGTGTGCGCCACCACCGCCAGGCCAAGGGGGAGCTTCTTAAACTGTGGCCTTGGTTTCTTCATGTATGGGTTTCCAGATGGAAATTAACTGCCCATGCGAAGTGCCCTGTACAGCGCCTGGTGTCTGTCGAGCAAGCCATGGAATAAGGACTACATTATTGTTGTTCCTTCTGAGGTCCCGCTGTCAACCAGATTCTAGGCCTCAGTTTATCCACAAGAAAAGCCAGCCTTGATTCTATAGGATTCTCAGCGAGTGGCTTGTCTTCCCAGGAGCTGCTACAGCAGCCGACCCCTCATTTACTGTGTGCCAGAACTCCCAACCCAGCTCCTTTGCCGGGATCAGTCGTATGTTTCATCCAGGCCCCTGAAGTTGCCTGCACAGTGCTCAGTGGAGGGGCGGGGATGAAGGCCCTGGGCCGCCTTCTGCAGCTGGGGCCTGCCCTGCTGTCCGTGATGGAGGCCTACACACCGGAGGAAGGCGTGTGTGATTGGTTGGGCTTATTCTTTCCCTGGTGCCCCATCCCTGGGGACTGGCAGAGGCCTTAGGTCAGGAGTCCCGAGACCTCTGCTGCCCAGTGCTACACTGCTGTCTGACTCTGAAGAAAAGTCCCCTGACAACCTGGATTTCTTGCTGGTTACAAAGCATCCTTACAAAAGGTTTAGGTTTCAATAATAAAAGAAAAGGAAAGTGCTTTGAAACCCACACATCATCCTGCAAGCCCGGTGGCTGATGGGAAAGGACGGCAGCAGGCAGGAGCCAGCAGGGAAAAAGCTCCCCAAGACGCTTGGCCTCCCAGCACCTTTTCCTCATGCCCTTCTCCCCCCAGCTTGGTGGGGATCTGACCTACCCTGCATCTGCCAGGTGCCAGGCCCTCCTCTGTAGCCTGTCCTCTGTTTCCTTGAACATCAGCTTCCTCAGGCGGTGGCTGGGAGCTGCGTGTGAGGGACCCATGTGAAAAGCCGCAGCTCTCCTCAGCTGCAGATGTGGGGGCCGATGACTGGGGGAGGGGAGGCCGGAAGTCACTGCTTTGCCAGTCTTGGCAAGATGGGGCGAGCCACACTAGAGGCCGCGGGGTGGCTGACAGCTCTGCTTCTTTCCCCGGACAGCCCGAGAAGCTGGGTGACATCTGTACCTCCTTGCGCTACGTGCCCACTGCCGGGAAGCTCACAGTCTGTATCCTGGAGGCCAAGAACCTCAAGAAGATGGATGTGGGGGGCCTCTCAGGTAACGCTGAACCTAGGAGCCAGGGTGTGGCCCCGGGGAGCTGACAATAGCGAGCGTCTTGCTTGTTGGGGGCACAGGTCTGCCAGTTTCACCTTCTTCCAGGCCTGTCCATATGAGTCCCTTCCCATTGCCTTGGCCACGCCCCACGGGCCATGGAGAAGACAGAAGAATGCCATTCTCCACATGAGCTAATGGCATTGGACCTCAAGAGTGGAGGAAGTGGCAGGGCTTAGCCCAAAGTCTGCCTTTCTGTCATGCCACAAGAGTAGGGGATATTTTCCCAGGAGAGGCTGTAGGCTCTGCCAGCTCTGTTCTGGAAGAGAATGCTCTGACAGTGAAGAGGGCTAGCCTGTGCCACAGGATGCTGGTGGGAAAGCCTACTGCCTCTGCAGAACCTCCTCAGACAACGGGCCTTGTAGGTGGGCTTTAGGCTGACCCAGGGTGTGACCTTAGGCTGGGCATTTCCCTTCTTTGCCCCCAGATTAGGACGGCTGGGTGGGGTGGGGGCAGGACTTGGCAGACATGGGCTCTGCCTTCAGTGCTTTTCTGTGTGCTGCCGCCCAGGCACTGGGCCAGTTGGTCCCCACACTTCCTCGTAAGGCCTTTCTTAAGCTCAGAAGTTCCGCTGACTCCATGCATTAGGAATCTGTAATAAACGGGGGGTGGCCCTTAACCCTTTCCCACCCTTGACCTACATGACTTTTCTGCTGTTGGGACTTCCCGTCCCTTCTCTGGGCTTTCCAAGGGCCTGGTGCCTGTATGGTGGACGTGGCCTCGGGACACCGGAAGGTGGTCAGGCTGAGGTGCCTCTTGGGTTGGGACTCTCTCTGCAGACCCCTATGTGAAGATCCACCTGATGCAGAATGGCAAGAGACTCAAGAAGAAGAAGACGACAGTGAAGAAGAAGACCCTGAACCCCTACTTCAACGAGTCCTTCAGCTTCGAGATCCCCTTTGAGCAGATTCAGGTGCCTAAGCCTCCGGGCCCTTGGGCTGAGCTCACCAGACAAGTCAGGGGTGGGGGTGGGGGTGGGGTGGTGTGGGCAGAGGGCAGCCACAGGGGTGCACTCGGGTGGGGAAGGATCTGAGGCTGACAGTGCTGACGTGGGACCCTGGAGAGGACTTTTCGGAAGGGCCCCCATTGTCCGAGGAGATGAACATGAACTAATTTTAAAAGTAATATAGCTCCTTAATGTATTGGAGGAAAACTTGCGTGTGTGCGATGCATGTGTACGTGCACGCGTGTATGCATGCGTGCATGTGTGTGTGTGTCCATTGATCTCAACAGAGGCCACTCCCGTCCCATGAATTCTTCCAGTTCCTAGAGTGTTGTGTGTGCTCAACTATACCTGCTGGTAGAAATACAGGTTGCCTTTAAAAAAAAAAAGCCTGGCTTCTATCTCTGTGTGTACACTGAACCTGGAGCTGGAGTCTGAAGCCAGGAAGCTGGAGGCTTCCCCTTCCATAGCATCTGCGGCGTCGGCCCACAGAGGCGCGAGCGTGTGGTTGGGTTCGTGCTTCTCTGAATCCCTTCCTTCCCTCGCTTCCTTGCAGAAAGTCCAGGTGGTTGTCACTGTGCTAGACTACGACAAGCTGGGCAAGAACGAAGCCATCGGCAAGATCTTTGTGGGCAGCAACGCCACAGGCACGGAGCTGCGGCACTGGTCCGACATGCTGGCCAACCCTCGGAGGCCCATCGCCCAGTGGCACTCTCTGAAGCCCGAGGAGGAAGTGGACGCGCTTCTAGGCAAGAACAAGTAGACCATGGCGGCAGCTGGGGCCACGCGCCCCTGAGGACACTGACAAGATCCAGAGCTATCAATACCTCAGTTACGCGACTGTAGAGGTTTCTTCATTTGTTTGCGGTGTGTCCTGTTTTCCCTTCCTTTTTCTCCTTTTCAAAGACCAACTTCCTTTGGTGGCCGAGTGAAGGGCGTCCCCTAGGAGGTGAAAGAAGCCTGGCTCTGTCTGTTGTCCCAGGATCTGTCCTTGTTGCATGCCCTGTCACAGTTTCCCTCGCTCTCAAAGCGTCACATAGGTCTTGCCTCAAGTGAGGCCCTCTACTGGCAGAAAGTTGAAGCAGTTTGCTTTTCCTGGGGCTTGGACCAACAAAATGGCAACACACTCTGTTTCTTGATTGTCAAGGCAACACAATGGCCAGCGTTGTGTGTGTGTGTGTGTGTGTGTGTGTGTGTGTGTGTGTGTGTGAGAGAGAGAGAGAGAGAGAGAGAGAGAGAGAGAGAGAGTCACTCCGTCCACCTGTCCAACCCTGCCTGCCTCTGTCTTCGAGTCTTTCTCTTCATTTCTGGAATGAGCCACAATGAAGCTGTGTGAAGGGACGAAGTCTTCAGGGGCTCCGAGATGAAGAAAGCCCACTGCCCAAGTGGGTGGCCTATGAGTGTCTGAAGAAGCCCCAAGCCCTGGTCAGATGCCAGGAGCTCTCAGAGTCCTTGTGAATGGCATTTGGAAGGCAGCCTGATGTGGTACTGGATGTGTTTAGAACTGGGACCAAAGCCCTTGATGCCATTATAGACTTCCTCTTGACAGTCATGGCTTCCCCCAGGAGTGTGGTTTTGGGGACATTCATGGAAACAAACTGTTCACTAGACTGGTTGGACTTGACCAGGGACTGCCAGCCCCAGGATTGCATTCTTGTTGACATCATCAAACATGATGAACAGGAGTCCCGTTACTCAGAATGGCGGAAGTGGAGCTCCTGGACCTCCGCCTCATCCGGCAGGCAGCAGAGTGCGAGCAGTGCTGCCTTCATTTGCAGTCCCGCACCAGCTTGCTCCTGCTTGTTTCCCTTTTTGTGTAAGTGGAAAAGTACTGTCTGAGGACAAGCACTGCACAGAGCCAAGGCCTGTGAGAGGGAGGCTTGAGTGTTTAGGTCCCCTGAGGTCCAGGTAAGGAGGAGGTGAAGAAGAGGGAGCATGGCTGGATAGTGATGAGCTCCCAACTCCTATCCCTGACTCCCCGGAGCCTCGGGCCTCCATGCTGGCAGCCTGAGTGGCCTAGGCAGAGCTGTGGAGAGGGCCCATATCCTTTCCTTTCCTAGACGCGTGTTTCTCTGATTGCCAGGACACCCAGGGCATTCATTTCAAGTGGGTGGAGGAGGGAACATGCTAAGGTATCTCTACATTGTGTTCAGTGTACCCTTGCCTGTACCCTACTTGTCCCCAGTATTGATAAAAAGCCATATATATGTTAGTCAGGCTAGCACTGGGTACCCTTCCGAACCTTCAGCCTGGACATGGGAGTTGGGTCCCATGTAGCCAGATGCTACTCCTTTCCCTTGGTCTTGCTTCTATCCTCGAATCTCTCAGGCCCGTGTTTTCTTACCACAGAAAATATACAGCTTCCCTGAAGCCTGGGGGAGGTCACTCTTAACAGCAAATGTGGCAGAACTTCTGTTCTGCCCCGTTCAGCCCTTTCTGGTTCTTGTACGTCTGATGGATGGTGGTGTGGAGTTTGGCTTTGAGAACCCAGCATGGAGAAGGTGCAGAGTGTTGTTTAATTTTAATGAAAATGGGAGATAGGTGGGTTTGCTTTGCTTTTTGGTTTAAGTAGGGAGTGAGTTAACACCTCTACCAGAAACATGCTGTGAAGTGAGGTTTGGCCTGCCTGTCTTAGAGATGCTTCTGCTACTGGCCCTTGGTGCATGGGAGCTATGAGTCTTATACACTGTGTGTGTGTGTGCTAAACACTGAGAAGGGAGAACTCTGACAGGATTATGGGCTGTAGTCCTTGGGACCCGAGTTATGGTCGTGATAGAAAATTGTAGGACAATAGGGTCTACTCAGAGTCCAGATGGTTGAGGAGTACCAGGGTCCGGGAATAGGTGTTGGAAGTCTCCACCCTCAGAGCTGTGGGCTTTTGGTGCTTTCCCGGCCCCTCACCCACATTCCATAAACCCCATCCACAGAACTCCCTGTGTCCGCTTCACCCTTCTTTCTTCCAGCCCTCCCCAAACACCTTTCAACCCCTTGGCTTCTCTCCTGGGAACCTTCTTCAGCCCTTCCCTAGCTCATAGTCCTACTGCTCTGCTCCCAGAGGAGAGGAGGAACGGTAGCTTCCTCTGTGGTTTGAGTGTCCCTGGCCTTACAGACGGGCTACAGCTCATTTCTGTGGGCAGCCTGCCAGGGCTTTTTGACTCCGATCACTCTTTTGGAGCCAGCATGGATGCCAGGAAGTGGTTCCTCCCCAGGCCCAGGGCTGGTCCCTCACTAGCCACCCAAGCAGATGGCATGCGTCCAAGTGCAGGAGCTAGGCAGGAACCTGTCAAGGGTTCAGTGTTTGTGCAGTAGGAGGCTGATGTGACCCAAACCCCAGAACAGCATTCCAAACCTTCACTGCCTCGGGGGGTTTACTTCTGGGGACGTCAGGGTCCTGGGGTACCAGCATGAAGTAAAGACAGTCAGTGTTTCTGGCTGGTGAGGGGTCCTGGGTACTTCTGAGGATGGAAGTTTTCAACCTGGAGAGGAAAGTACTGATTTTTTTAAATTGTTGTTTTTGTTTCTCCAAAGACAGCATAAGACCATGAAAACCCAAACCCGGTCCTACACAGGATCTGGGGGGCATGTCCCCCTTGAATGACCCTCCGAGAGCAGGAGGAAGCTCTGTAGTGCTGTGGGCAGTTTTTGAGGCCTGCAGAGTGGGGAGCTCCAACAGCAGGTGCTTGGTAAGAGAAGCAAGGGTGAGGCCCAGCCAGAGACCTCGGTCTTCAAGCCAACACACAGCTCGTGTCTCTGTAGCCGTGGTTTGGGAGGTGCAAGGGTTTCACCACAGGCCTCTTTGTGAAAGTGGCTTTATAAGCAAGCCCCCATGCTACATGTGAGGGTGGGGGTGAGTGGTGATACTGAAGAGGAGGAAACCCCTTGCCCCTTTAATGTATGTGTCAGTTCCTGAGAATCCTGGGTCTCTCAGCCCTGTAGGGGAGCCTGTCTTTAGGGCCTATGCAGCAGCAGTCTTGCCCAAGTTAGGAAGAGACTGGATACTCCCCCATCCTCTGCTTGTCTCCCTGCTGTCTCCCCCTCACTGCAGGCTGGTTGGGGTCTTTTCTCAGAGCCATGGGGTCTTTTCTTATAGCCCCATAATGGCTGCCAGATTTGGCAAATACAGGATACTTGGTTAAACTTGAATTTCAGATAAACAAATAATTTTGAGGTATAAGTATGTCCTATGCAATATTTGGGGCATACTGTACTATACAGTGATCTATTATTTAATGCAAACTTTACATTTAATTGGCTAATCCTGTATCGTGTCTGGCAATGTACCCTCTGGCTACTTTATCCCTCTTTTCTTCAGTCCCAGGGGCCAGAGGTCGGTTAGTACAGATTTAACCTGTTTTTTGAACTGCAATATTGAAAAGGGGACACTGTGACTTGAAGATATATGAATATACTTTATTATTTTATTATTTATTTATTTATTTGGTTTTTACGAGACGGGGTTTCTCTGTATTGTTTTGGAGGCTTTTGGTCCAGCCCGGCCTCGAATTCACAGAGATCCGCCTGCCTCTGCCTCCCGAGTGCTGGTATTAAAGGCGTGCGCCACCACCGCCTGGTGAATATACTTTATTTTTTAAGCAACAACATAACAGGAAACTTCTGAAGCCATTGAGCCTCATCTGACCCCTCCATGTGCATTTAGTTATATATTATAAAAGATGCTATCTATAAACATACAAGCAGATTCTTGTTTAATCAAGATGCATGTCTACAAATCTGTAAATAGCCGCATGGCAATGCTGAGTGTCCCCTTGATCTTCCAACCCCAAACCCATTTTACAAAACTGGCTGCTCCTTGATTTTATGTTGTGTAAAGTCTTTGTCTACAGTCCCACCCTATGTCCCTACCTACAGGGAATGTCTGCAATGGGAGACAACATTCTGGCCCTGGTGCCAGCCCTGCCTGGGGAAGATGCCGGAGATCATGAGCCCCGAGGCAGGTCTGCTGCATGTTTGTCTGCAGGGTTAACTCTTGGGGCACAGTGCACTGTGTCTGGTGTTCCATTGCTTTTATGTTCCATGTGTGTGGTGTGGTCCCTTTCTTCCCACTGTCTTGAATAAACTGAAAAGCCATAAAGGGGTCTCCTCCTGGAGGCTGCTCTCGACTCCTCCTAGGAGCACCCCGTCCCTCCAACTGGCTCCCCACAGAACACTTGTGAAGGGCTCACCTGTCCGTTACCCTCTCTTGCTTCCTCAGCCCTGTGTCATGAGGACAGCTGGTGTTTCAGGGCTTCTGGTGGGGTCCCAGGAGATGCCCCTGGCTGGCTTTCTTGGCTTGGGTCTGATGGTGGGACTCAATTCTACCCTGGGTATAGGCAGGGCAGTGGCGTGTCTCTGTGGCTTAGATACCATCTTCGAGGCCTGCAGAGGCAGCCAGGGTTCTCAGGAGCAGTCAGCAGCCTGTACCCTGGGATGAACAGGCTAGCTCAGCCTACTTCTCCCTGAGCCATCAGAGAGCCGTGGAGGAGTGACCCGTGGGGAATCCTGAGACCTGCAGTAGGTTAAACTCCCCTCCCACACACCCTCTGTGGTCTGGCAGTGCCACAGGAGCAGGGTGGCCCCGAGAGCAAGGTGGCAGGTGTGTTGATGAGCAGTGACATTAGGCTCTGACCCTCATACCAGCTCCCAGGGCAGCCTGGGCAGGCATGGCAAGGGTAACCATATGGGTAGAGAGAAATGCAGCAGCTTGGTCACCTGCAGGACTCCTGGGGGGGGCAGTCGTGTCACTAAGCTAGGGAACCTCAGGCAGAGCTGGGCAAGCGTATTGGACAAAGCCAGCAGCAGCAAGGGGACTCTGCCTTTTGCAGACCATGACGCTTGAGCAAGTCCAGGGACCTTTGTGCTAGTGACAAAGAACAGGGCACCTGGAGCAACCATTTCAGTAGACGGGTTGGCTGGCGTCCCCACTACTCTCCACAGAAACCGAAACTGGGAACAGTGGCAGGAGAGTCCGGCAAGGTGTGGGGAGCAGCCTGTGGGCCTCAGTTTCACCCCAGCTTTCCTCAGCAGCCAGGAGTTTAGGAAATGACCAGGAAGCCTGGCCATCCTCTTCATCTAAGGACTTGATTTGCTTTCTGAACCCAGAAACTTTCAAAACTAGGGCTGGGGCAGAACCTAAGTGAGCCCACGCCACCCCTGGAATGCACTGGCCCCACCAGGAGCCCTCCCTGTCTTCATAGGAAGGACACGTGTAGCCCTCCCCCTCCCCCTCCGCTTGGCACTGCTGTCTCCATTCCCTTGTGTGGACTCTGTTCTTGTCTGATCTCTTGTCAAACTGTTATTTTGTAACGAGCTGCGTCTCCTTATTAAAGAAAAGAGCTGAAAGCAACCTGGGGGCGGGGAGCATCTCTACTTTCTTTGCTGGGGGGGGTGAGCTGGTTTGGGGGCTCTGGCCTGAAGCCCGGCATGTGGGGTCACGGCTGCTGGGTCTGGGGAAGGGCAGATGGGGTTTCTGGTGGTTGGTAGGCACACAGGGCCCACCCTCCTGGGAGGATGAGGGCTGTCCCACACCCGTGAGATCCCTCAAGAGGACCTGAGCTTAGGGGGTAGCCACAGTCTGACCCTGACAACAGGGAAGGCTGCTGGTCCCAGGGTGTACATGTTTAAAAAGTGGAAACTACAAAGTCTCCAATCTTGTTTTGTAAAGAAGGCTGGCTGTTGAGGAAGGGATACCAGGACCAGCAAGGCTTCAGAATGCTTAGGGACAGACTGGGGGCAGTATGGACAAGACCGGGAATGGATTAAACTTTTAGTTCCCAGCCCCAGAGAAGGTCACCCCATCAGTTTGTCACTTGTCTGGGACCATCATGCACTAGACTGTTTTGTGTCAAGTCAAGAGGGCCAAGGGGCGGTGGAGGGCAGGTAGGCAGAGTGCCTATGAGCTGGCAGGAGCCCAGATCTGGCTGACTGGCTGCTTCAGTCCTGAGACCATGGGCTAGATGGCTTGAGTGTATTGGACCAAGAATGTGGGTGCCAGGCTGGTACCCATGGCCAGTGAATGAGCCTGGCTCTACAGACCCTACCCTCCCAGCAGAGATGTCTGTGGTCTAGGAGCCCCTGTGCCAGTTATGCTTTACCTCTGCTTCAAGCCTCAAGGCCAGGGCTGAACTCTTCAACCATGACATCATGCCTATTTCTTCTTGCTGCTTGAGCTACAAACAGCTGGGTGACAGCAGGGGAAAGGAATCTTCCTCCCTCCCAAGTCAGTGACCAAGGGTTTCCACTTGGCAGAAAGCAGACTCAAAGCCTGGCTGCCCACTCTCTAGCCCTACCAGCAGCTTCTGCAGCAACTCCTGAGCTGGGCTCCTTTCCTTCAGAGCTTAGACTCAACCTCCAATGACCCCACAGTTGGCTTCATGTGCATAGCTTGGAACTAGGGAGTAACTTTTGGATCTCCTCAAACGATGACCTAAGGACCCTTACACCGCAGAGGACTGAGGGTGCTGGGGGCCTGCACAAGAGCTTAGACCGCCAGCGGCTCTCTGGACCCTAGCTTCCTGCGTAGGATGGGTGTTAGGGTGGATCAGGCGGGTCATACACCCCCCACTTTTTACCTTCCGTTAGGTACTGGGAAACCTGACTTCTCAGGATTGCTCTGAAACTTGAGGTTTTTCCTTGGTCACAGACACCTTCCTGGGGCAGGGCAGGTGCTGCCTTACAAACCTGTGGTTGCCATGGTAAAGAGACTCGTAAGTAAGTGGGAACTGTGGGGGGCTGCGTGGTGTATAGGAGGTTCTGTCAATCTCATGGCACAAAGTTAAAACACAGTTTTATTTGCTCGTTTATAAATACTGTTGTGTTTACAGGCATCATACAGATGTGAATATTATTCCCAAACTTTCAAACACAGAATACTTAATACCATATAATAACAGCCAGTAAAACAAATCCATCCATCTCAGGGTTGAAAGGCCACTCAAAGTTGCATAGAAACACATTCAGTTCACAAAGCCAGTCGGGCTTCTCTCCCTCAGGAGCCTCCTCCAGGTGTTATTTACAGTTGACTGAAGTTAATCCGCACAGCTCAGCTAGAAAACAGCTTTACTCGGTGCACTAAGTATGGGTGAAGGGTGGAGAGAGGACATAGCAAATGCTAGCGCTCAGGTGGTGACCAGGAGGGGGCAAAGGAGGACAACAGAGGACAACTGGGAAGCCAAAGCTGAGCTCTGAACCACTGCCTCAGGAGACACCTCCCCCGCCCTTGGGGAACCCCAGCTGTGCTTTAAGGTGAGGCCAGGGGAGGCCCGACCTGCCCAGGGCTCAAGAGATGGTGACTGGTGGGCACTGTGTGCATGCTGGATGGCTGCGTTCTCAGAATCTTCCCCTAGAGCCACCTTACCTACAGTTGCTTTACACTAGTCTTTCTCACCCTAGGGAAGCTGGAATCTGCCCGAGGTCTGAGAACAGCACAGGCATGCACTTGGGGGAGAATCAGGCTGGTGCTGGCCCCGAGTGTCCCTTCTTCAGGATCCTGCTCTGATTTCCAGCTCTGGGTTTGAGTGCATATCTAAGCTTATGGCTCCTCAAGGCCCAACCTGTTTTGGATCTTCTCTCTCCTGCGTGGCTGAGTAGCTGTCACCTACTGCACAGACAAACTAGTTCAGCCTGTGTTGGGCAGACACTTGTGCCTTATGCGAGGACCAGTCACATCCCCAGGAAAAGATGGAGTGAGTGTCTCAGATACAGCTCTGTGACAGAGGAATCATCTAGACCTATAAGCCAAACCTCGTCTCTGAGGGGCTCTGAAAGTGGGATAGGGGCTGGCCCTGCGTGGGTAGGGGAAATGACATGCTGTTTGTGTTTGAAAATCCTCCAGGACCCTTGGCTGATTTATGGGAAACCTCTTCCCTCAGGCACCATCAAGTCCAAGTGTAGAAGCAAGGCCTAAGGAGTGTGGAAGAGAGGAGGGGGAAGGGTATACTTATTTGGATGGACCCACACTAGCATCTTGATGACACCTTAAGGGCCACCCAAGTTAATTTTTATTGGAAGCATTAGAGGAAAATTTAGAAGCAAAATAACAAAATGTCATCCTGGCAGATTCCCAAGCTGGGAAACAAGCAGATGCGTGGGAGAGAGAAGTCCTTTGGGAAGCTGGTATAGGAAGAGCAAAAAAGAGACAGCTATACTTGTATGAAATTGGTTTCTGAGTTCTCCTTTCTAATCAAGAAAATGCCAGACCTCTTTTTGAAAGCTCCAGCCTGACGTGTGTGTGTGTACATGCGTGTGCTTGTTCCCAGGCTGAAGAGACCTTCTCACTGTCCAGTCTTCTGAGCCAGAACATGCATCAGTGCCATGGGCTTTGGAAGTCTCTTCCTCCACCATCTAGCCAGTGGGGATCCAGGCACTGGGTTGCAAGGCCCACCTCAGGACGACTGTGACCCTTACCCACCACTCTCAAGGAGACGTGGATACAACTTCTAGCTGCCCTCTGGTTTGTTGGGAGTCCAGTTCTTTCCCTCAGAGACCACTTCATTCCTTTGTAGCGGTGACAATGATAGCTCCTGGGCTATAATGAAGTTGATTTATTTTTCCAATCTAATCAGAACACAAACAATCAATAGTTGACCCTGACAGAGTCCACTGCTCTGAGCAGTGTCAATACCCATTAGGGAGGCTGATTAAAATCTCCACTCAGCCTCAGCTGGAGCTCAGGGATGCACTCAATGAGACACAAGTACTTCCAGGTGTGGAAATTCAGGGCTTGCCATCTCCTTCGTGTTCACATGCATAAACCATACCCCGCCTTTACCCATTACAGCATGCAGGCATCCACTTCTGGGGTTTGGCCCTCTCCTTACATCCAAGGCCCAACTGTAGGAGTCTGGCCACAGCTGGACACCATTCTATGCTAGGCTGTTTGTGGGGTCTGTAAACACCTACAAAAGCAGATGATATCTCTTGAAAGGCCACCTTGAACACCACCAGAGCGCCTCCTTCTGAGAGCTTGGTGCTCAGAGGCAGAGCTCAGCTGGAGTGGCTGAGGTCTTCACTACAGACACACTATTGCTGCTCAAGGCAGAGTTCAAGACTAGGAACGAGCTGGTGCCAAGCAGAGTTGAAGTTAAGTCTGCGGCTTGGATACTGAGGAACAGTGTTGGTCACGACTGGGAGAAGTAGCCCAGCAAACCTGCCAGCAGCAGCTGACTTCCTAGTGACGCAGTGCGTGCTCCATCTCTTCCGGATGGGTTTTTTTTTTAGTTAGCCACCAGGAGGGAGAGCAATCATTACACTATTCAATTGCTCCCAATGTTAAATTCACTTTCTAACAAGGAGGTTGGGTCAGCCTTGACATCCTGATCTTAAACAGCTTGCATTTGGGAAGAAAACAAGACTGATTTTGAAAATTTGAAAAGAAGCAGAAATCTAAGTGTCAAAAATGTTCTCATTTTTCTACAAATGAATAAATCACAGAATTTTAAGCACAATGGGACCTTACAAGATTATCCTGCCCCAGGGTTACAGCTATATAAGTTGGCCCTGGACTCCCTGTGGTTTAACTGTGTGCACCTTAGCCTGCCCTCACTTCCTGGGTTAAGGGTTTGCACCTTCCTTCAGAACAGACTGGCAACTGAGATGTGGCTATAATTAGGCATGGATCTGGGCAGGCCACCTCTGAAAAGGCATGTGACCGTGGACTACAGCCTTGTGGTTCTGAGGACAGCAGGGCTCCTGCATCCCTGCCTCACAGGAGGGGCAACTGAAGTGGGCGCTGTCGCTTACTTGCTGGGAGAAGCAGTCCCCAAGCACCCTGCTGGCCTAGCTGCCCCTTTAGGTGTCTGTTTCAAGGTGCACATGTTTCCCACGGTCCTCTAGGCCCCAAGGTTCTGGTCACAGAGGCCCACTCCAAAAGAGCCAGCACTGTCAGTACTTTGCACTGGGTGGGGACAGTTGTCTGTGCTAGGAAAGGCCAAAAGGAGCCAGAAACCGGAGTCGCAGCAAGGGCATAGTTTGGAGAGTCCCTCCTTTCATCTCTGGTTTATACTCTCTTGTAGGGGCCCACAGTCTCCATTCCTGTACATCCCGGGCAGAAACCACCTCACTGAACCATGCTTGCATCTAGAGGGAGAGCGAACATGCCCCATTACTGGACATGCAAGGAGGCTCTAGGAATTCAGTGACATTAGAGGGCCCAAGACAGACCTGTCCTTCTGGTCCTTTTGAGGCAAGACCCTTCCTCTAGAGACAGGGATGGAAGTGGGAGGGAGCACTTCAGGTGCTGTCTGGAAAGTCACAGGGAAACTCCAGCCCGAGAACCTCTGACTGTCCCAGTCATTACTCCCAAAGCTGTCAAATGACTGAGAACATTCTTGTCCCCGTCCGAATTTCCCATGAAGACTGGTTTGTGACAGGCTGAGTCCTACTTGCAGTGGGTCCCTAAGCTCCAGCTGTGAGATCACTCACAAGAAGCCAGCAGGTGAGGCTGGTGGCCATCGGGGAGACCTACAGTGTGTAAGTGGCCAAGCAACAAAGGAAAAGGAGACCAGTGCCACAAGTCTAGTTGGCGATCAGAAGGCCTGTGTCTTTCATGGGGGCTTTCAGTCAATAGCACTCTGAAGAAACAGTTCTCTTTTCTGGAAGAGGCTAAATTCACAATGTTTTCTTGTCTAATAAAATTAGTGGCCAAAAGGAAGTGCCTGAAATTACCTAGGATCATTTGTACTATATGATATGTTCTTGGCCACAGAGTCTAGTACTTCTAAGATGGAAAAGCTTATAAATAACTTGTCACAAGGAAACCTTCCTGCCAAGAGGTGGCATCTTAACTTGGAAGGAAGGCCACGTACAGCAGCAGGTATTGATGGCAGTTTGTGAGGAGTTCTGAGAACCTGCCCCCACACTTCAAAAGGCCCACCTTTACCTGGTCTATGAATGGAGGAAGCTCAAAACGGTTTCCCAACATCCCATTTTCTTTTCCTAATGTCCTAGCTATTCTAGGAGAATCAGTTGGCTGGCACACTGTTGACATTTCCCAGCAAGACGAGAACGCTTCCTATAACAGAAGACAAGTCCCTCTCACTGTGTGTGTGGTTCAGTCTTCCCTCAGACCTAGGCTCAGTGCTCCATGACAGGGTGGCCCAGCAGACTCCTCAGAAGAGTGGGTTGAAATGGAAAAGAGAATCTTGTATGTGCTCAAAGTGCCATAGTGAGCATGGTCCTATTCTGCAACTGGGACCCTGAATTACAACTTCTGTTTAAGAGCACTCGAAGTCTGCAAGGGCCACAGAGAAGGACAATAGTGGCATCCTCACAAAAGAAAAACAACAGAGGTAGCATTGAATGGTCCACATCACTGGCAACCCCAGAGTAATGAGGCTTTAAAGGACCTGTCCTGTAATGTGATCCAAGGACAAAATGCCTACAAGAATCAAGCATTATCCCTACCAACACCGGCTCACCGTTGAGAACTAGCACTTTAACTCTGTGCTGGATTACGGAATAGTCTGTAAAGGCTAAGACTCGATAATCTAAAGGGCTGCTTTTGTCTAGACTCTAGAGGATGGTGTCACAGCCATGGCATCTGAGGAAGGACTGAAAGGACTAGAGAAGTAAAGACTACCACCCATCCACCACCCATCCACATTTAATGTGCTGGGCAGGCTGGGAGCAGCAGACCTCAGCTTCTGTTAGTAAAAACTCTGGTTATTAGAGGTGCCCAAGTTTCAAGTAATAAATGCATAGTTACCAAAGGCTGACCATAGGTCAGAGCTATGGTGGCAGGGAGGGGTCCCTGTCACACAGGGAAGGAAGCTGGGCCAGATGCTGTATGAGCCTTGCCACTCTTAGGAGTCCATGAGTCTTATTATGGGCCGTATGCACTTCATCTTCTTCAGTTTCTATCCCAGAAGTCATTTCTCCTGTTGGCTTCTAAGGACAGTGTTTCTCCCCTGAATGTGGCTCCCAGAAAGAAAGTTACCACCATTCTCACAGTATAATAAGCACAGTGTTCCGAGTTCCTCACACGCTTTCTTCCTGTCTAGCCTGCTTCCGCCCGCGACTCTCCCCCAGGTCTCCTTGCAACAACTTCATTCCTCATTAGGAGCAGGTGCACAAGTGGAAAAGAAAAAGCCAAAGGGAGAAGGCAAACTGAAGTATTTAGAAGCCAGCTTTCTTTTTACTTGAGAGAGGGTCTTGTACGGCTGGCCTTACATGCCCAGTCCCTCTCCCCACCCCCCCAGTGCTGGGCTGCAGGTGTATACTGCTATGTCTGACTTGAAGAGTCCAGAAAATCACTTAGTAAGCAGACTAGTGGGAAATGTGAACAATGGGCTGCATGCCCCTTAAGTCACCCTCTAGCTTTGCAGGGACAGGGGTCATGGTACCAAGGCAACAGGGTGATGATTTCCCACAATGGCCCAAAGCAACTGAGGTCAGGAGCTCTGTTTCAGCTTTTACACCATCAGGTTGGGAGGAGAAATCATAAAAAGACAGAAAGAAAAGGACCAGGAGAGTCCAAGACCATCTAAGCCTTGTAGAAGGGAGAAATGGGTTAAGACTAGGTTAAGTTCTAGGTTATTGATAGAAAAATAAAAACAAGTCGGTCCCTGAGGTGAATAACAGAGTCACAATCACCTTGGACTCTACGCAACAGCTCCAGAGGCAGTCCACAGAGTAACCCCACATTCTGCCCTTTCTCCTGGAACCCCAGAGAGGATCCTGGAGGGGCCACCACACGACTCACCTATATCAGGGACAGTGGGTCAGTGTAAAGCCTTACATATCTATACTGAAACCAATGTGGACAAAGCAGCAGAAAGTTGGGGGTCCACGCCTCAGCTTGGTGTACCCCACAAAGCTTTCTCCAGATTGCTTGCAATGGTCACAATCATGCTTCAGTTAAAACTGTCATAAGACTTGGGATAGCGGTGCGGGAGCAGCGGGACACCGAGAGTGCAGAGAAAATGTACAGTGCAGAGGTGACTGACAGAGAAGGAGGCGCCCTTCTTCTGAAACATTCCACAGCTGGAAATGAAGGGTGGGCAGCAAGAGCTGTCCCCGCCTCCAGATCTGACCTCATCTATTTGGACAGTTTGCTGATGACTCTGATGAGGGCACCGTTTTCATCTTTCAGCCTCTGATTGTCGGATTTCAGTTCTGTTAACACCTGCGGCGACAGAGGGAAAGATGTGTTAGAGCCTCGCACCATGGCCACTACCTTCCCAGGCTGAGCCAGCAGGTGAGCAGGGCCTCCTGGGACAGCTATGTGATAAGTTGTCACTATCCTCTTGCTCAGGGATTAAACCCCCTCGATCTTCCTATTTACTGGGCTGGAAATGTAAATATTTAGGGAAAACACAGCTCATTTTGTGAGCCAGCTTCAGATTCCACATAGCCTATAGCGCTATTCTATTGAGTCAGTAGCTACTTGCAATTGTTCCTGCCCTTGAACTCACCTGTAGCCTGGAGAAACTGGGGACACTGCCAAAGCACACTGGTGAGGACATGGGTGTCCTCCTCAGCAAGGAGTCAGTCAGACACTGCCTCACACCCCATAAAAAACAAAATGCAAGCTGAGGAACAGAACTTGGCAGGTCTGCCACACGCCAAGATGACCAAGGTCACCCTGGTGCCTTTGGTAACTAGAACCCATCCAGATTTTCACTGGTCATACTATACACACCTATTCTCAACAGTAACATCCAGGCAACTTACAGATGAGGCCAAGATGCAGGGGGCTTTCCCAGTACTTTGGGGGATGGTGTTAGAATAATTCTGGCAAACAGGCTTATGGAAAAAGGGATGGAGTGAAGATTCCATCTGTCAGTTCTTCCATCTGGGAATACAACACAGATTGTTGCTCAACTCGAGGAACACAGGAAGAGCAAGTCCCAGCTTGGACACCGAGTCTTTATTATGTGATCAGGCACTTTGAAAGATATTTGTACATCTGAAAAGTCTTAATGAGCTACAGTTCATGTGTGAACTTCGTGGGTAGATTGGGGTTCGAAGGTAAATACATCTCACAACGAAGGCTCTAGAAGTCTGTATCCTCATGGTCATGCAGACACCTTTTCTTTCATTGACCAGTCATTTCAACCCTCAGGACTCAATATGGTGAGCAAGGCCTCCAGAAAAGGGTGACCTGGGCTCAGGAATTATGGGGCCATGTAGTTCAAGCTCTTGGCATTGCTATTAAACTGGGGAATCTATAATGTACCTGAAAAAATATGTATGATCTTTGTTACCCTAACCTCACGAGGAAGATGCAGGTTACAATATACAATTGTGTGCAAGTATATGAGCGAGCGAGTGTGTGTGTGTGTGTGTGTGTGTGTGTGTGTGTGTGTGTACCCACAGCCCATGTCAGAGAACAAAGGGAAAACAACTGTAGAACGGGGCGGGGCTTTAGAAAGTCTCACTGGCACCTTTGGAGTCTGTGCTGCAGATGTTCTTACCTCTATAACTGAGGGACCATGTGTCCATCACTAGTCCAGGGCAGCCAGCTAGCTAAATGCTAGTGATGAAATTATACCCATATGTTCCCAAGTCCAAAGACTATCTCTTCATTACAGGTAGGAATGGAAAACAAACCACCACAGTAGTTGTAGCACAGAAACAAATTCAGGAGTGGTCACTCTCAATGATCCACACTGCTTTAGCCAAGAGGTTCTCGACCCTTTCACAGGGGTCACGGCAAATATCCTGCATCAGATATTTACACTATGATTCATAACAGTGGCAAAATTAGTTATGAAGTAGCAACGAAAATATTTTATGGTTGGGATCACCGTAGCATGAGGAAAGTTGAGAACCACTGCTTTAGACAAACTACTTGACTTCTCTGCCTTTCTGATTGTAGCTAAAAAAGAACAGTAACCACCTTGCTCCCTCACAGATGGGCCTCTGAGTCTGACAGGAGTAGGAGACATGGAAGCGCTAGTGTGTGTAATGGGTTTTGCAATACTGGGGATCCCTGCTACCACTTGGTTTCCCTATGAATCTGGAAGAGCAGGCAAGTCATCTACATACTTTACCAATAAAACTAATCTAAAGAATTATAAAGCAAAGTTTGTCTCTGACTCTCTCTTCTCCAACTCAGAGCAGCGCTGGCTAGCCTCTGTCATGCCTATCAGAATGGAGTGCTCAGAGCTCACACTAGCAAGCCCTGTCCAGGCTGGTACCTTCCATCTCCTTTCTGTTGTTCTGTCTGGGGGGTTTGTTTGCCTGGGTGGGACTTTTTAATGTAAAAACTGTTTCTTTTACATGTATGGGTGTTCTGCCCACACATGTGTCTGTGCTTAGTGCCTGTGGAGCTCAGAAGAGGGCATTTCTGGAACAGGAGTAACCAAGGTTGGTTGTGAGACCACGTGGGATGAACAGCCAATGCTCTGAACCGCTGAGCCTCTCGCTAGCCCCTGAAAACTCCGCTTCTTCAGGTGTGAAGATGCTATATCTATGGCAATGGGTTGTGTTAGTGTTGGGATTGGTTTTTTTCCACATTAAGAACTCAATTTTTCGGGGATGAAAAGATGGACATGACAATTTCAAAGCTGCAACATTTAATATCTTAAGATAATATAAAGCACCAGTGGTGTGCAGAGACAAAGGAAGGAGGGGACACAGACTCTATGCTCAAATGAGGGGGACTGAATAGTGCTGTCTGACATTTAGCTGAAGTTAACAGTTAAATAAGAATGTGTATGAAAGAACTGTACAAGCACCGAGTTTTATAGAGTGCATCTAACTCTCCCGACTTCAGCTTCTTCCTTTCTGAATTTCTAGCCTGCTAGTTTGATGTTGATACTTCAGACACAATCAAGTACATGTGTTCTTAAACATTACTTCATATAGCCTATGATGAGGACTGTGTTAAAGGCAGGGACGGGGTTCCTGAGGGTTCAGGGTGTATCAAGGCAAGGCAAACTGTGGGTGGGAGGGTGTCACAATAAGCCTGACCAGAGCTGCCTTGCGAGAAATGGAAGGGAGTCTTCCCTGTCTCTGAAGATGGAGCTGGCTGGCACTGCGTGCGGCGTTAGGACTTGCAGGGGATAATTCAGAAGGGTGAGAGCGAGGCAGAAATCTCTTGGCCACACTGCCAGCTTAGCTTAGTTACCCATCTTTCCTGCTGGTGGGAGTCATCCGGCAGGCTCCTAGTGTGAAGGTCCACACAGCAAGTATTTAGACTAGGTTACAGGCCACACAGTCTTTGCTGTGACTACTTCTTTCCATGACTGTGGCCCAGAAGGTGTCACATACTGATAATGCAGAAACTGAAGAGTATGGTTTGTTCCCAATAAATCTTAGTTTCTGGACACTGGAATCTGAATTCCATAGGAATTTTATTTGTCAAATACAATTCTTTTTATTTCCTTTGACTATTGGCATGGCTCATGGGTCATAGTTTGCTTTCCTTACTGTAGGTCATGTACCAGGCAATGACATTACAGGGACACAATCTTTTGGTAGGTAAATGTTTTTTTTGGAAGCTAGCCTTTTTTTTTTTTTTTTTTTGAGATGGAGTGTTTCTTTGTAGTTCTAGCTGTCCTGGAACTTGCTATGTAGACTATGCTAGCCTCAAATTCATAGAGATCTGCCTGCCTGTTTCCCAAGTGCTTAGATTAAAGCCATGTGCCACCATGCCTGGCTGAAACTGGCCTTTTAAGTAAGTCAGAGTACTAAAACAGTAGAATTGTCTGTTACTCTCTGATGCAATGCCCTGCACTGTAGCTGCTTAACCAGTGGTTAAGACCTTTGAGTCTGGAATCTAACATGGCGTTTGAGTTTGTATTCAACCATTTACACTCCAAGAGATACACTTGTATCTGATTCTGTAGGCTGTCTTCTAAATACATACAATGGTGCTGAGGAACCACTGGAAAAAAAAAGCACTCAGCACAGGCTTTAATAAATGCCTGTTGTTATACGTATTAGCCACTGAAAGGCTGAGATCTAATTTTGCCCCGTATCCTACACTCTCTTGCAACAAGTTGGGAGACCAGAAATAAGTGGGATTTTGGGGGTCTGTATTTTTCCCTTAGTTAAAATTTCCTACAATGTGCATGTATGTGCCTGTGTGTGTGCATGCTAGGACTGAAGCAAGGGTCTTGGTGTACACTACACACATGCTCCACCACAGAGCTACATGTTAGCATCCTTTCAGGACTTTTGAGGCTAACTTTGAAACGGTCTGGACCTACTGCTGGCTGCTCATCGCCCTGCCATGGCAGCATATCCCCTTTCATTTTTTTCTGCCTGTGAGAGCATCTTTAGCAGGACATTAGCTCAGCCCTTATGATAATATGGATGCTTCAGTTCTAGTGGGTGTTAGTTGCCAGCTACTGATCCTAAAGGCAAATGCAAATAGGCAGAAAAAAGAGACAGGTTCTAGTCAAGTCTAATTAGACTGTTGCTGACAATCAGAAACTCATTTCAGGGAAATGGTGACCCTATCACATCTTAGGATGGGGAAACTGTATGTGAGCTTGTCTTTCAGATCCACAGCCAGAGGAAGGTTCTAGTTTGCCAAACACATTTTTTTGAGGGGTGGTTTTCAGTTGAAAATAAATCCTGCTCTGCTCCACTGCTTCCGGCTGCTTTGCAAAGCCAATCCCATTAGGAAGGGCTCATTTATATTGCCTATGTTCTGCCTCAAGGCCCACAGACTCAGGGCAGGGAGATTTGTGAGGAATGAGACAAATGCTTTGGAAAGAGGAAGATGAAAGCAAAGACTTACAGAAGGAGGTGAAGACTACTTATCTAACCCTGCCAGTGGTGGGAAGGTGGTTGTCTTTGCTAGTAGCAGAGGTGGGGTCAGGGAAGCTGGCCTTTAGGCCTAGTCCTTTCCATGTAGCAGTGCTGTCACTTGTGGGGATTAAGTTCCACCTGGCAGTCTAAGGCTATGGTTCTCAACGAAGGTCACATACACATCAATAGAGGGGCTTTAGAAAAACACTAATGCCCAGGTCTCAATTCAGATAGTGGAGCATCTGGGATGGGTGGATAGTAATGGCTCCTAGCTGGATCTAACATGCAGTCAGGTTTGGGAATTCTTGCCCGTGGTTACTCCAGGCCCTAATGGAGTCAGATACATTTGGTGTTGTCTGAGAAAGCTCTATCTCAGTTTGATGAAGACCCCATCACTGAAATAAAATCATGTGCATATATGCACACAGTTAAATATACACAGTTGTGTATCCATTTGCATCTGAGTACATCTGGATTCAGTCTCCAAGGGAAGAGAAGGTAACATGGCAACCGTAACATGTTAGACACTCTGCTTGCCCACACAAGTCTCCCCACTACCACCCTTGAATGAGGTTCTTATGTCCCATTACATGGTCTGAGTCCTGCTCCATCTCCAGGTAACAAAGTTTTGCAGATACCCAGACATGGAGGCTCTGACGGGAAGGATGGGCTTCTGGGACCAACAAGAAGAGTAAACCTGCCTGGAGCAGTAGAGGAGGGAAGTGAGGTGGAGAGGAAGGGCAATAGCTAGAGCTCCTGGGTGTCCGAGGACTCGATGGACTTGGAGAGTCTGGCCACCACTCGGGTCAGGGCCCTGTTCTCAGCCTGCAGTTGTTCGTTCATCTGCTTCAAGGTTTGAATCTGTTTTAGCTGGTGAAGGTTCTGCAGAGAGTGAGACATGAAGGAGACAGACAAGAAAGAGACAAGACAGAGCAGAGAGAAAAAAGTAGGACAAAGAAACTATGTGACTTTTTGCTCTTGTTTTTAGTTTGCATGCAAGAAAGGAGATGGGAAGGCAGTAGTGACGGGGACGAGCTGTACAGGGAGGTAGAGGAGAAAAGCAGCGGAGGAAGAGCTGGCTCTGTGGCTCTTGGAGAGCCCTCAGCATGCTGCGGTTGGCTATACAAGCTCCAAAAACTACGTGTGGACCACTTGAGAATGAGAGGCCAACACAGGGCTTGGGGCCCTCTGGCAAATTCACCCGCAGAACCTGAGTCTCGAGGATTCTCTTTCATTGTCACTGGGACCAGGGCTGAGGATTGGGGGGGGGGGGTTTAAATCTAAACATAACCCTTTCTCTCTCCCTTTATCTTGTCCTCACACTTGCCCTCATTTCTATTTGTTTTCTTCCTGTTCTCTTAATATATTACTTAATTAAAAAAATACAAGAGGGGTGTTTCCTTTAAGCACTTTCTGCATACAGCACGTATTATTCAGAAGGCTGACACCTGCCAGCTCTTTGCGAGGACCCATTACACGTTTTACAGGATGCTTAATTAACCTTCCCAGTTCTCCTCAATAGCACACAGAGCTTGTCTAGGGTCCTGCAGCTGCCAATTGGCCTCTACCTGCTATATATACTCTATATATCACTAACTTCACAGCTGTGTGCGCTCTCTGCCCTAGTTCATGCCAAGGCTAGGAGCTGCTTAAACGTGTCCAAGCATACACTGGAAATTATAAATGTACAAAAGAAGAGAAATCATGAATGCCAGGTGATGACGGAACTGGCTGGATCACTGTAGTAGTCTAGCCCCTGTGCACCAGTCACAGGAATTGACAGTCTTCCCAATACCTGACATTTCACAAGTGCTTCGAAGACTTCAATAAGTGATTACAGCACAGGCCTGCCAACTCTGCCACATGCCTTCCTAAGGCATCCTCTGCACTGACCTTGACACAGACTACCAGCTCTTTTGGAAAAGGGAAGTGTTATGCAAATAGGGTTTAGGTTATAGTGATGACAAAAGAAAGGTTCGGGTATGGGGACTCTCATACTACACAATGAGAAAGGATGGACATGGAAGATTAGTGGGGCAATGGCTTGGGAGTGAACCAGCAAGAAAATGAAAGCAGCATGAGAGAAAACAGTGAAAAGGAAAAACAAGCAGAGACAAACTGCTGAGTAGCTCTTTGTTCAAAGAAAAAGACTCCCTTCCTTTCCCCAAAAAGGTAGGGCTGCCAAGCAGGTCCTTGCAGCCACAGGAGAGTAGACTAGGCCATCCTCTGCAGACTGTAGGCATCTTGACCATGGAGGGGACAGGTGAGAGAGATCATAAACAGCACAGGGAGGAGTTTGAAGACACGAGTAGGGACCAAATTTAAGAACCACAGAAAACCCCTGGCTTCTGTCCTTCATTGGTGTTGACATCTGATCAACGCTTTCAATACACTCACAGTTGTCATCTGAAGTGGTCTTTGCCTCCCAGGGATGACACAGCAATGAACTAGGAAAGTGACTTAGTCTACCATTTGAACAGCAGCTTTAGGTGGAAGAATCTGGAAGCTATCAGTATAACGAGAGAGGCAGGAAACAATCTGGTGGGATGTTCTTTAGGAAGCAGCTATGAAAACAAGCATGGCAAGGAGATGGAAAGGAGGAGAGCAGAACATGGAGCGAGGCGGGAAAGGGCAGAGTCCAGGGAGGAGTTGGCGAATGGTACTTCAGGGTAAGCAGGTAGGATCCCAGAAGCAACTTACAGGGGGATGGCTGCTGGGCTCTTCTCATGCAAAGGCCTGGGAAAGGACCTGGTTAGGTCTAGCAAGGAAGCGGAAGCAGGAAGTAGTCAGATTGGATATGGACATCCCAAGACAGGTGCAGAGCAGCTCAGCTCACACTGACATGCACACCTGTCAGATCAATCTGCTGGAGTTTCTCCTGGGGAGAATTCATACTTACCTTTCTGGGCAGCCTGTCTCCCAACCACAGCGCCCTACACCTGGGAGAGCCCACCTCATGGCTCCCATTTCACTTGACCTTTGTGTTTTGCTGGTGTCACTTTCTGAGGAGTGCCTGCTGAGCCTTTAAGCATTCACAGGAAGCTATCCCTACAAACAGTACCCTACTGATGGTTCCAGGAAAGACTGAGCTCCTGCACAGTCTGCACACAAACACAGAGCAGCTGGTCCCAAGGCTTAATACACTCCGTATCTGATGAGGTTTTCCAGGCTTGACAAATGTACCATTCACTGACTGTCTTATATACAAATATTTTAGTCATTAATCCTTAGAAAAGTTGGTCAGCATAAATAATAGCCTAAACGGAAACCCTGAGAGTTAACCATTTTCCCAACTCCTTTAGAGCAGACACAGTAATTTCACAATATATTTGTGAATTTGAAGGTACAGACAGAAGCCTAACACTGGTATATGACTGGAAGTTCTGATGCTCTTCTCTCTTAGTCCTATAGAGGAAGCTAGACAATTTGCAATCTGGAATATTATGCTAGGGCTGAGCAAATTATGTTTAGGTGCATTACAATTTGCAGATGTTTCTTCTCTATTTGACTTTGTAAGTAGCAGTAGAGAATAATGGGAATGGAGTCTCAAAACAGCTTACTTATTAGTTTGAGGACCAGTTACCATCTGGCTCTACTTGATAATTAATTTTTCCCCTTTATATGTATGGGTGTTTTGCTTATATGCATGTCTTTGCATCACATGTGTGCAGTACAAGAGGTAACCAGAAGAGGGCAATGGAACCTCTGGGATTGGAGTTACAGATAGTTGTGAGCCATGAGGTGGGTGCTGGGAATTGAACACAGGTCTTCTGGAAGCAACCTCCAAACCATCTCTCTAGCCTCTTAAACAATTTATTTTTTACTTTTTAAAAAGATTTATTATTTATACAGTGTTCTGCCTGCTTGTAACCCTGGAGGCCAGAAGAGGGCACCAGATCTCAGTACAGATGGTTGTGAGCCACCATGTGGTTGCTGGGAATTGAACTCAGGACCTCTGGAAGAACACCCAGTGCTCTTAGCCACTGAGCCATCTCTCCAGCCCAACGATTTATTTTTAAACTTGTTGGCAAATAACTTCTGACTAGAAAGAACAAATACTTTCATGTGTTGTTATCTCTATTAAAACATTGAAGAAATGAACTCACAGCCTAGTTTTGAAAACCACAGCTTGATAGGATAAGAACATGGAAAGAAACACGCAACCCTGTGTCAACCCAAAGGATTCAGAGCGACTAAGAACACAGAAGAACGCCTGTACTTGCCAGTTTAGAATGGGAAGAGCAGAGCGAGCGCAAAGTTCCCCTTTGAGCCCTTGTATGGGGTCTGTGTGGAGGGCGCAAAGGGTGCACGGCCTGTCTGTGGGCTTCCGGGTACTCACGGAGGTACCTTTGGCCTGGTTTACATGCTCCAGATCAGCAGTTAGGCCTTTCTTTCCATTTCCTGTATCTCTTTCTCCCCACCTTTTTTTGAGACAGTATCTCATGTATCCTATGTAGCCAAAGATGACTGTGAACTCCTATCCTTCTGTTTCTATCTCCTGAATGCTGGGGTTATAGGTATATAACAGCAAGCCTGGTTTATGGGTTCTGATGATCAAACCCAGGGCTAACTGCATGCTAAGTTAAGTACTTTATCTACTAGGCTACATTCTTAGTTCCTTTCTTTTTTTTCTGAGACAGTCTTTATGTAGATGAAGTTGGACTTGAACTCACAGACAATGCCTCTGCTTCCCAGGTGCTGGGATTACAGGTATATGTATACCCAGATATAAGCTTTAAATTAGTATATGTTTTTAAAATATTTACTTAAGTATTAATTTATGTGTGAGTATTCTGCCTACATATATGTATGTGCACAATGTGTGTGCCAGGTTCCACAGAAGTCCGAAAAGGGCATCAGATCCCCTGGAACTGGAATTGCGGATGGATGTGAACCGCCGTGTGGGTGCTGGGAACCGAACCCAAGTCCTCTGCAAAAGCAGCCAGTGCTCTTAACCACCGAGTTATCCCTCGTGCCACCCTCGCCCAGGCCAGCATTACCCATAGCTGACTAACGGTGGAGAACAGATGGGATAGCTAAGGGTTTCAGAAGGGAAGCCCTCATATAGAGAGTTGTGTGTGTTCATTCATGAAGAACTATTTGGCAATATTAACATGCTCTGCTAAGAGGAAGAAAATACTTCTGTGAGTGAGGTGGGTTTGGAAAATCTGGAAGATGGAAAATTCAATGCTGTTTCTCAGGGTGTTGTTCCTTCTCCTCAAGAAAACTGAATACTATTTCTACTTTTAAAGTGTTTGAGGGATAAGTAGTTATTGCTTCAAAGTCTACATGACTATTACCAGTCACAGCCATGAGTTGGTGACCAGGAAATGAGGGGCAAGACTGGGATTTCCCCTCCACTCTGCAACTAGAAGGAGTTAACAGGATTGTGAGTACAGGATCTGGTAAAACCATGACCTTTGACCTCGTTAGACCCTGAAAACTTTTTTTGTGTGTGGTGGTGGGTTATACATAAATAACATCTTTTTAAGTCGTTAAAACAACTGTCTCTTAAAAAGCAATTCGATTGCGTATCGGAGACACTTACTGACAACGGGACATTTGGGGACTTGTCTGGTGTGTTGCAGGGCTTCTGCTTCCTAACTGCAGAGATCCACATCTGACTTGGCATTGCACAGCCACTAAAATAAGATCCTTGATGAAAGGAAAAAGGCTGAACGACTACTAAGGGACTATAGCCACACAGCACAAAGTACTGCAGGGATGAGCTGCTCCAATATCTTAGATAGACACGGCTACTTTAAGCTGTTCCTTCTAGCTCCTTATCTTCCCCTCCTATAGCAATGGGCTGGCACTCAAAATTGGCAACAGTCCATTCAAGTAGCCAAAAGAGGTGACGGTCACTGTTGGTCGTCCTCGAGAAGAGGAAGGCAGTGAGTCCCCAAGTGGGTCATGTGGAGGCATGAGTTTGCACTAGTGGGGGAAGGGCAAGAACTCTGGAGTACTGCAGAGGAAATGGCCTAGGTCAGGAAATTGATATGCAAATAAATTCTCATACTGCTGTAGAGTGACTCAGCTTGTGTTCCTCCTGCAAGAGCTGCATATGGGGAGAAAGGCCTGTGCCTATGCCTAGGCTTCATGGAGCTCCCCAAGTGGGAACTCTGCAGAATAGGGAGAATTTGCCCTAGACCTGTCACACAGCCTCCCAAGGGAGAAGCCACTGCTTTGAAAACCTTAGAAGTTGAACTTGGTCTCCCCATAAACCAACCCGTTGCTCACAGAAGGCCTCTGAGGTGGCCACAGTGGCTGCAGCATGGGCTGGGAGAGCCTAAAAGATGGCTGAGAGGGGGTGCACACTTCCTCCACACACCATCTCTTCTTGAGGGTGCTCAGTTGTCACTACCAGTTAGAGCAGGCAAGCCTAGGCTCAAGCATCTAGTTTAGGCAGGCATACAGAGAACAGACACACCAAGACAAAGATAATTTCTTCATACCTTCATCTCTTCTTCCATTTCTGACATCTTCCGTTCCAATGCTCGCCTCTCCTGTTTAGAAACAATGAGCTTGTTGAAAAGACAATGGCCAGGACGCAATCACAAAGCTACCTCCCACGTCACACCGTCAGTAGCTTCATAGTCTCGGGGTCTGTCTAGACTGGGACAAACCTTTCTCCACATGTACACTCTCTGCCCTGCTACCATAGGATGGAGCTACTTCACCGATGAGATTCCTATCCTCTAAGTCTTCTATCAGACATTGGAAGATACAGGGACGGCAACCTAATAGACAAGCAGACCAAGATGCTGAGTTATTCCTTGCAAGTTAAAGTTTTCAAATGACTGCAGGTAATGAGGACCCTTGCTGTAGAAACAAAAATCCATCGTCTTAGTAGTACTCCACCTATGTTCTTTATGATGGGGACACATGGTCAGCGGGAAAGTAGACATTGCTGGCTGCCAGTTTCTCCACCTCCCACCCCCATTTCTCTCCCAGCCAATTACTCTTAATTTAGCCTGAACTCAATGAGATGCCTTTAATTAAATGAAATACCAAGAGGTAGAAGCCAAGGGAATGAATGTAAAACTAAGCTTTTTCCAAATTAAACAGACAATAAGAAAGATGGTAACATACTATATTCTGAGAGTCAAATTGGAATTAGGGTTCATCACTAAATCTAACTGAGTTTTCCAATCCAAGAACATCAAGTCCCAGACAAACATCTAAGTACAGCTGGGACCAGGGTAGGAATTTGACCAGAATGCCCCCCACCAGAGGGCTGATGAAGGCTGATTCTCAGGTTTTAAATCATAACACCTAAATCAATGGCATGGGCTCTTGATGAAAAACTTCCTTTAAAAATGTTTATTTGTGTGTGTGTGTGTGTGTGTGTGTGTGTGTGTGTGCGTGTGCGTGCACGCACATGTGCACCATGGTATATGCATGGAGGTCAGAGAACAGTTTCTCCTTCCACCATGGGTTCTGCTAACTGAAGTCAAGTTGTTAGGCTTGTGTATATGAGCATGTCACCTCACTGGATATCTCTTTATCTTTTGAGATTAGGTTTTGTTATGTAGCCGTGGATGACCTGGAACTCACTCCGTAGTGTAGGCTGGTCCTGAATTTGTGACAAATGTGGGGGTTAGAGGTTTGAGTCACCATGATCAGCCAAGACCTTCCTTTCTGTCTAAGGTCATGGAAAGGGCAGAAAGCCGTTAGACCTGTGTACATGTGTAAATAACCACGTATCTTACAGCTCTCTGTATGTATGCAGTTTTGAAGGAAGAAGAATGCATGAGATGACTTCCCAAGACTCCTTCCCACCCTAAAACTGGTGTGTTCAAAGTAACCAACTATATGAGGAGGCCAAAAGGACTGGTCATCAAATCACTGTCCAGAGCCAGACCCAAAACAAATTATCATTAAGCTGGGAATGGAATGTTGCAGAGCTCCCCGTTTCTTAAGATGAACTTTTTCCACTGGCACAAACAACAAAGTTAGAGAAGGTCAAAAGAAGACATGCAACAGGCAGCCAAGGAGATGTGCATACCCGTTTCTCCATCTCTAGCACCGACGAGCGGTCAGAGGTCTTCTCTTGTTTCTGCTGTGTGAACAGAAGGGAGACACTTGTTATTGAGGCTCTTTCACATGTAGTAGGAAGCCCAGTTTTGCTCTGGTTCATCTCCAGACATCCAGAAAGAGACAACAGAGCTCTGGGCTTTTCCTTTTAACAAGGGCCTCAGCAAACAGACTGTGGAAGATTGCTAAGCCCAACACTTGCCTTGAACAGTATAGAACAGTATGCAGGGTGGCCACTGGGGAGTGGAAGGAAGGAATAGTCCTTGAAGTCCAACACGTGAACGGATGCTACTCACTGTACTGCCTCTCACCTTCCCTCACCTTCAGACAACAAACTCCAATACTAATTACTTTCTTACTGAATCACCTGCCCTGCCTTCCTTAAAGGCTGGAAATCCCCTGACCTTAGTGCCTGAACCCTGTGGCACTCCTGCAAAGAAGCGCTTTCCCTGCCACTTCTGAGCACCAAGGCCATTTTCTTTCTAGTGTGGTCTAGACAGTCTTCTCAGGCAGCTTCTGGCTGACTGAACAGAGCTGTTCCACTTTTATCTGTTTGGTTTCCTTCTTAATCTGTTAACAAGATTTTACTTGAATAAAGGCTTTACAATATATATTTAGATCATCACTGATATTTTCAATTTCAATCCTTCAGAGGAGTCAGGAATGGAGGAACCTGCAAGTGTCCTTTGGTCTTAAGCATTATAGGACTGGGTGGAATTTTGTATATTCAATAGGCATTTGATGAGTAAAGAATGATTCTTCTATCTTGTCTAGCACCATGCCCAGACATTTGCAATACATGGGGACATTAGGCTGGTCCTGCAGAAGGTTCCCTCCCCACCCCCTCCTTTTCTCTCCTCCTCAATTACTGAACAGTTGACACTAACAATAAAACTTGGAATTCTGGCTCTCATCCTAGACGTTCCCCTTCTGCTCTGAAGGTCACGGCTGTCTGCCTCTACACTGCATCTGCCAAGGCAGAAAGGACAGAAGAAACTGCATAGTAGATTTTGGAGTTTGTGTCTTCCTTCATCTCTTTCCTAAGCTTGACAAGCGGGAGGATTTTGAGATTTACAAAGTTCAGAATACAAAGAACTAGTTTGTTTGCTTCTTTAATTTTAAATTATAACTCCCTTGACTTTTAGTCGACCTTTTATGTAAAATGCTGCATGTGTCCATGTGGGAACTGTCTCCAAACAAATGCATGAGGCTGACAGCCCCCGCCCCCTGGCCTGCCCATCCTACCAAACATCTCCATTTTTGGTAAATAGAGACTTGGTTGTAGTACCATCATTTCTTTCTGAGCTTCAAATAGCTTGCATTTGGTAAGTATATTAAGTATATCCCGGCATACCTAGCAAAGCGGCTGGCTGGTAGGCAATGCTGCCCAGTGACTAGGAAAGGCTAGTTCTATTCTGACGTTCTGTGTGGGTCACTCTGCACAGCTTGAAGGCTGCTGTGACCTCACAGGCTGGGAGAAAAGCAAGACCTCCATGAGTTCAATGGGCTAGCATCAGCAGTTCTGGCTGAGGAGAGGGTCACACTGCTTTCATGGGGCTGCCCTGTATGTTCTTGGTGGATGCAGCTTCAGGGCTGCACTTAGTTCTAACTGATGCCCATATGGAAGCTATTCAGAACCAAGACATACTGCCCAGCTTAGTAATGCAGAGGGGAACGTGACCAAGCTTACTTAGCTCACTCTCCACTTACGGCAGGGTTTAATTGTGTTGTGAGTTTTTCTTCTTGTTTCACAACATGGCTTTACACCTAGTATGTGTTAGCTGTAGGTCTCACAAGGTCCAGTAAGAGCCATGTTTAGTTCTTGTCACCCTCATGCTCCCCTGTGTATCTCATGTAAAAGGGGTTATAATAAGATGCTAAGAAAGAGGGCATTCAACCCCTCCCCCACCACATGCCACATGCTTGTAACACCATGAGCCTATAATTTCATTTTTGCTTTTGGATTATATCATATTTCCAGATTAAATAGCCCCTCTGGTTTTCATTTCATATCCTTGTAAAGAGCCCTTTTTACCTCAGTTCTGCTTTTGAGATACTTAGTCCCCAGGCGTTCTGGGAAGGCAATAACTCAAGGCTTCCTTTTAACACTGCAATAACCCAAGACAGGCTGCTGCAGCTTCAACTGCAGGGCTTGTCTCATGGCAATGAAATCACTAGCTAGCAGCCTCCCAAGCTTTGTGTAACTCAATCCGGCCTTGCAGTAAGGGGGGTGGGGAATTAACCCACTCATTCTACCACTATTTCTGTAATGCCAAATGGGGGAACACTTTGGATCCACGGTGCAATCCTCCTGAAACCTAATCTGGAACCACTTCACTCCTGATTGTAAAGAAAACAATGATTTGGGGGCCCTGTTTGGGGCCCTCTGTACTTGGGTACAGTGTTCTGCTTATTTTGCTCCAGCAGGTGAGATGCTGAGGAACAGGACAGGAGGAACTATCTAGCACTGCCCCAGTACTGACCTGACTTGTACAGTGTAGTGAGAAGTTATGTTAAATATTAATTACTAGCATTCATAACATCAGTAAGTTGTTCAGGGAACTTAACTGTCAGTTTTCAGTTAAATTAAAGATCCACTTAACCCAAAAACCTTAAAATTAGGCTCTATAAAACTTTCATCTGATTGGCTCTGAGGAAGTGCTACTTTGAGTCTAGCTCACAACTGCTTCCAGGATACCCACTCTGTCTCCTTAAGAATGTCCCTGCCACCGCTGCTGTACCCTGCCTCCCCTTACCTGGGCCATCTTCTCAAGCTTGGATTTTATATCAGCTAGCTCTAGCTGGGCCTCCTGAAGTTTTGTTTTCAGTTTTTGGTTTTCGGTCAGGGCGCTCTCGTAGAGCTGTGAAGGGAACAGAGCCAGGTCACTGCATGGGCTCCCAGTAGTAGAACTCATACTGTCTGCTCCACGCTACCAAGGTCAGCTGGGTGGAGAAGAGGAAGGCGGTCATGGAGAGTCACTGCTCTTTGGCATCCAAATGGCATGATCTGGATGGCAAGGAGAAAGCTGACACTCCAGTGACAGTAGGGCTAAACTCTGGGAGAAAAACCAGTCACCTATTCCTCCCACATGGTCTCTCCACTGCTTAAAGTGCAGCTTCTAGACAAAACAGACTTATTGTTTCTGGAACCAGTGTGTTGATTTTTGTCAAATTCTGCATAACCAAAACATCAACAAAGAAAAATTTCTTTAACCAAATGTTATCTCAAATACCTGGAAGGAATGTTTTCAAAGTCTAAAGAGCAAGAACCAAGAGAAACTGGATGTAAATAACTTAACTCCTCTCTAAGCCCAGAGAGATGGATGATAATGAATTTTTAAAAACTAAGACCAAAAAGCATTTGGTTGATATTCAAAACACCTTATTAAAAGCACATGTTTCTTAAAAAATAAGCCTAACCAAGTAATTCTCATGGGCTCAGACATACAACATTATGCTTTTTGCTCTTCTTTTTTTTTTTTTTTTTGTTTTTATGAGACAGGGTTTCTCTATATTGTTTCGGAGGCTATCGGTCCAGCCCGGCCTCAAACTCACAGAGATCCGCCTGCCTCTGCCTCCCGAGTGCCGGGATTAAAGGCGTGCGCCACCAACGCCCGGCAGCTTTTTGCTCTTCTTAAAATAGTAAATTCCTTACTTTCCCCCATACTTCTAAATATTTGATTCTAGGTATATACTTATTGCAATAAAAACAATATATAAAGAATCATTAGTGAGTAGAGAGGTAAAGCAAATAATTAATTGTATTCCTTATTAGAATTTTGTTCATTTTTTTTTCCTATTGGGGAAAAGCTAGTAGGTTTATACATCATAAGCTAAGAACAGGAAACCAGGAAAGAGATCCTACTTTTTTGTAATCCCTGTTGCTGTCCTCTTCTACCCGGCTGGTCAGGCTGGCTAGGCGAGCCTCTCGGGCCTCCCGACGGGCTCTTGCTGAGGCACGGTCACTGTAGGAATCACTGCTGGTTGGGTTACTGCCTCCTGACTCCAACCTATAAGACAAATGTTGAAGATAAAAGTTGTTCTTGAGAACACTGTGTGTGTGAGTGTGTGTGTGTGTGTGTGTGTATTAATAAAGCCTAAGCTAGTCTGTGCCTTTTCTAGGAGGTATTGGAGAGCTCTGGCCAGAAACTGGCCTTCCGTGAATCTCTTAGCCATTGTGCCACCTCTCATGGCCACACTGCACGAGTGATGAGCACACGAGCAGGCAGGCAGCTTGGGAGAGAGGCCACCATTTGCCAAGAGTAGAGCTCACTTGAAAAACTGGTGGCTTGGACCCATGTGCTGCTTTACACCTTTGAGCTTTCAAGTTAATTTGGAGTTGAATAGATTCCCTAAAGAGTGTACCTTTAAGAGTCAAAGTTTCTTGGGCCTGAAGGGCTCTTGGAAAATGATTATAATGAAGTGCCAATGAATCAGAAACATATGGGCTTGGAGAGTGAGCCAGCGGGGAAGACAGGGGAACAGCAACCATGGCAAGATGCTTGGGTTTGCGGGTGCACAACAGGTTTGCTGGAGTCAAATATCCTCAAGCAACCCATTTTCTCTCCTGTATCCACATCAATACTTGTGATTGTAGCTAAGATTTCTACATCTTCTGGCAAGTGAACTTCTAGAACTGCTGGTGGCTTTGCTTCTAGACTGCTACGTGTGTGTGGTCTGAGAAGTCTCTTGCTAACTACCAGTTTAGTGTCCTAGTGTCGGTCTAGCCCTTCACCGCAGCTCTATTTCCCTCGGCTTTGCTCTTTGTTCACCAGGTGTAACACCTATCAAAGTGCTGTGTACAAACCAGACTTCCAGAGCACTGACGCCTGAACTCCTTGGTTTGTGCCATCTTAGAAGCTCCTGCAGAAGCTGCTGGCAAAGCTGCAGGAGCTGGTAAGGCAGAGAGGGCAGTAACAGCCAGGGCAGTGCAGCAAGAGTAAAGTGGTAGCTGCAAAGGAAGCTGGGGCCACTGTTAGAGAGGCCAAGACTTGTGTTCTCAGCCTCCCCACCCCTGTTCATGGAAATCTTTACATGATGATTTTTCTGACTACAGAAGCAATACATTAAGTAATACCAAAGTGTCTACCCCATAATCTTGTCCAAGAAATAACTGCTATTAACAGTAGGTTTCATATACTTCTGGAATGTCAAATGCCAAAATGTTAAAAAAAATTCCCATAAAGCTAGATAACACCTACACTGTCCAACTCCTACTCCCTGTATTTATGATTCTCTGGGAATGTTACCATGTAAGTAAAAATATACGTCCTTAAAAAAATGACTATACAGTTCATTCCATGGCTATCTGGTAATTTAACCAAATTTCAGGTGATAGAAACATTGCTATTAGTGTATCGATTAGCAATACTAAAAGGTGCAGATTTATTTATAAGCCTTAGTACAGCTGGTGGTTTTCTGTTTGAGACAGGGCTTCATACCACACAGAATGGCCTCAAACTTGCTATGAGGAAATAGTATTCTTGTGATCCTATTTTAGTATTTTAAGCCACTAGGGAGATGTGCAGTTATTCAGTACTGTTGTCTCTGGATGGCTAGTCACACTTTGTTTATTAAGGCAAACAACTTTCTCCATTCTCTTGTCAGGCCCCGAGATAATGCTCTTACACATTATGGCTTTTTACAAATGTCTAACACATCTCACAGTTTTTTTCTCTTCACTTTTTATCTGTCTATAGTAACTCTTTTTAATTTAAAAAGCATCAATGGTCTCTTACTTTTATTTAGTTGTTTTTGAAACAGGGCTTCACATCGCCAAAATTGGCCTAGAAATTCCTACGTAGTCCAGGCTGGCCTTGAACTCTTGATCCCTCCTGCTTCAGCCTTCCCAGTGCTGGGATTAGAAGTATGAGTCACCATGCCCAGCTATTTACAGTTATTTTTTTTAAAAGCAATGATGTAAAATTATATGTAATGGAACTTGGCACTTTATAATCTTTTGGGTACTGTTTGGGAAGGTGTTTCCTATATATAGATAATAAAATAACATCTTGTACTATTTTTGTAGAAAGGGCCTTTCTCTTTTTAAAAATGTAACTATTGGAAATATATTTCTGTTGGTTTTTTAGTATGAATTGAAGGAAGGATGTATTTTCTCAAAACAAACTAATCAAAATAGTTCATTTTCTCAATCACTAAGTCTGTATCCACCCATGAGATGAAAACTCACATCACACACAGGACTTTTAAAGGTGCTATGAATTGTTTTGGCAATCTCTGTTTATTTGCATGTATGTGCACACATGAGTGAGCGTGGAGGTCAGAGGACAGCTATGAGGAGCTGGTTCTTCCCATCTACCATGCGCGTCCCAGGATCCCTCTACTAGCTGAGCCATCTCACCAGCCCCTCTGTCTTTATTCTGGAAGTAGTACTTCAGTATTCTAACCATGAAAAGTTTATGCCATATTCTGAAGTCTGTAGAGAAAGAATCCTTCAATGTGGCCACGGTAACATAGCTGAATCCTTTAAAGATGAGTTTATGGCAAAATACTACTCTTTGACTAAGTCATTTTATGTTACTTTGTTAAGTAAATTAATTTTTTGGCTGGTAATTGGTGAGAGGGTAGACAGAAGAAGAATACATAAAATCTTAGCATATATTAACAAGATAGAGCTAGTTCAACTTCCAAACAGGTTATGAGATCAATTTGCCCTGTGCCATCCTAGAACTACATCTGCTCTCTCTACCTACCTCCTCTTAATTTCTCCATCACAGGAATAGTGAAAATAGGATTCATTTAGTTCCAAAGTTGCTATTATTTTTATTTTCTTTTTTAGGAAGATCAGTTTTATAAGATAGATACTATGTGAAAAATTATAGAGGTATTTATTTATTTAAGTAATTGCAAAACAGGCTTTTAGTTCATGTGATGAGCTATTCACAAGCACTGTTTAGATATGAGATAGATGGTTGGGTTCACTATAAAATGACAATATCATTTCAATCTCAACTCAGGGTTCCACTTGGCAATAACCCTGTCTTCTGAACTATCAGATTGGGTTAACTGCCCCTTCCCTGCATCCACAATACCTGCCTGCACGTCTAAATGGCACTTTCTGTGTCCCTCTGAAAGGATTTGTTGCTCCAGTAGATTGTAAACTAACTGCAGGTAAGGTCAAGGCCTGGAACTGATGCTTCAGGACAATTCACCCGTTGGAAATATACAAGGGGAAGGGGAAGGAGCGGATCTGGTGGCAGTAAGGTGAGTTGAAAGCTGTTCTATAATACTGGGCAAGAAGTAAGTCTGATTTATTGTGGTGACTGAGGAAATGAAAAGGAAGGCTATGAAGAACACTACTAAATATTATATGACACTAAATGTAACTAGACATGCATTCACTCACAAGAATTAAGCATGCATATAAAACAGAATTCTTACCTAGAAAGTCTTTCATGCTAGAGAAAGGAGACAAAAACAAAAAAGAAAAAGAAAATAGCATTAGCAAGAGACTATATTTCCATCATAAATGTACTTTTCAAGTCTGATGTCTCAACCTCGCAGTGGAGATAGGAGTTGCTAAACCATGAAGGGAAGCAACTGGACTGACTGTGAAAAGGCCACTTAGCTCTAACCCACACTTCTTTACATCCTCTGACTCACCGGATCCAAGGCTCTGGAGACAGCACTTTCAAACTGGCAGACCCCAAAACACAGTGATCAAATGCTTCCCTCTCCATCAACTAGACAACCAAGCTGTGCCTCAGGAGTGACTGTCATTCGCTTTTGGTGACACTGAAGTGTGCAATTCATCCTATTAATCTTCTTAAGTTTCCAACCACCCGAGCCTTCCCTGAGTAAACACTGCAATTTATAAATACTAAAGCTCAGGTCAGTTCCTGGCTTCCACTAAGATCTACAGTGCAGGTGAAAGAATGAGGGAGCTGTGAGGAGGAGGGAAAGTTCCATCCTAGTCCCTAGATACTGCTAAGAACTTAATAAGGATAATAAAGTATTTTGAGATCTCAGAAGAAAAGAATTTCATAGATGCAAGCTATAAGTTTAATTCTTGCTTAAAAAAAAAAAGCAACAGTGAGTACTATGTCCGCATCTCCCATTAAAAAAAAAAAGTTATAAATGACCTTTGTCCTTCTATCCTTTCATAAAGAGAGAACTCAGGCAAGCAAGCATTTACTTGATTTATGAGTCTATTTACTCCCTCCTTTGAGATGTTAAGAGTCACAACCCAAAGGTCAGACAACAGAAGAATGAACGAAGCAGTGCGCGGTGATCTACAAAAGGAAGAGGAACCCTTAAACTGGGAGCAGCACACACTACACCGCTTTGCTAAATCTCCAGAAGTCACTGCTGTGTCAGCTCAGGAATATAGCAGTCGGATGCATCACACCCTCAAGTCGTACTGGGAGTGTAGTGAGCACATCTCAAAGGTGGCTTTCTATGGAACTCCTCTTCAAGTCAAGAGTTGTATTTAAAATGGTCACAAGCACACATCCTAATTGTGTGGGTTCTTTTTCTGTGGCTATGGAATAGAGATATCTTCTATGGGTCTTTAACAAGCTCCCAGGCAATTCTATGGTGTATCTCTAGTTAAGTACTATCGGACTAAACATACACTTTATTTATTTTATTGTGTATGCATGTGTGTGTGCATGTGTGCCACAGCACAGCACAGTGTGGAGGTTAGAGGTGAGTGGTTAGGAGACAGAGTTTTCTCCTCCTTCCATTTGGGTCCTGGGAACTGAACTCATATCATCAGGCTTGACAGCAAGTATCTTTACCCATGTAATGATCTCACCTTAATGAACATTTAAACATGGAGACAGGGTCCTGTGGTGAGACCTTGCTTGTACAAATAAAGCCTGTCTGAAGATCAGAGAATGGAGTTTGCCACTAGCTAACTATAGAGTTCTGGAGGTCTGTACAGACAGACAGGAAGTGAGATGGCTGAGTGGGAACAGCCTCAAACTACTTTAGCCAGGATTTGAAACAAGCCCTGCACTGGCCCATTACGCAGAGACTGGATAACAAATGATACAGCTTTTTAGGATCCCCTAAGGGTGCCGTCATCACCAGACACCAGGAAGCAACTTTAAGAACACAACGCCCCCATTCCCAAGAGGTGGGGTGGGTGGTTTTTGGTCACTCATTGGATTATAGATATTTGTCATTGTTTAGGGGGATTGGTTACAAAATGTTGTTGGCTATGATCAGGAAGAAACTTGAACAAAGAAGATTACATTCCAGGTTTTTGTTTTGAAAAAAAAAAAAGAGGAATAATACAGATGATAGGATAAAAAGGGTAGATTATTGAATCTATTCTGAAAAGAAAAAATGGAGGATAAATATATGATAAGAATATGAATCCACTCTTTAAAAGCAACTACTAGTTTTAAATATTTTACATTGGATTGGATTTGTATATACTGTATACAAATGTTGTATAGATACAAATTTGAGATTAAATTTGCTAAAACATACTGTACATACATTTCTAATATTGTTCAAGATATTGTATCTATACAGCTCATTTAACAATGTAATCTATATTTCTAGTCCTTAAAAGTTATTTTTAACTATATAGGATAATAAGGAAATGTAATTTAGTTATTAGTCAACTATTACAATAGAACTTGGAGTCACATTAGGTATGTTTACAAGGTCAAACAGATATTTTAGAAAGACAGGTTATCTTCAAACACTTCAGAGATTTACAGAATATAGCATTTAACATGTTTTAATAATATAGGTCTTTTTTATGACAATGAGACATGTTTGCTCCTGATAGTACCAATCTACATCAGAAAAGATGATGGGCATTGAAGAAACTCCACGTGGAGTTTACTTTCTTTGCAGCAAAGGTAAGCCACTGGGCAAGAAAATGCCCTTGCCTCAAATGCTGACAGTATGTTGTCCAAATTGGACAAACAGGACACCAAAAAGAGTGACTGCAAATCTTGCCAAGACTCCAGCTTCACAGAAGTGTCTGTCATATATGCTAGGCCTATAGGCTGAAGATGGATGCCCCAATATTGCACCTTGGTGACTGTCCAGGCAGCCAGCTGTTTCTGTCATTTCTCACATTTTTCTTGGAAGTTGCACTGCTCACACTTCCTGCTTACTCAGTTCATATTGTTTCCTTCTTGGGTCTCTGAGGGAGTTGAATACTAGGTAGTACAGTTATAGTTTTCCTTGTTTATCAGACTCAATAAAGAAACTCACTGAAGATGTGTTGAGTGTAATAGGTTTGAAAGACATTAAGAAGATAACTTGATAACACAAATTAGAAAGTAAATTAGGTACAAGACTTTGGATTCATCAAGAAAGAATTGATAATGGGAGTATTTTCTCTGAATTTTTCAAATGCTAATGGACTAGACATTGTTAATATAGTTTTTGCTGTTATACAAATTGTATATATTTTTCTTATATTAGTTATAACCTTTATTTTTAGACAAAAAAGGGGGATATGTGCTTGTATACAAATAAAACCTGTCTGAAGATCAGAGGATGGAGCTTGCTACTAGCTAACCATAGAGATCTGGAGGTCTGCACAGACAGACAAGAAGTGAGATGGCTGAGCGGAAGAGGATATAAGCTGGAAGAAACAGGAACTTGTGCTCTTGTCTGCTGAGATGCTAAGGAGGTAAAGGTGGCTTTGGCTTGCTCCTTCTTCTCTCTAATCTCTTAGACCAATTAAGAACTCCTTTTTACAGGGCCCACTTTGAGGTTAGAGGGAAACATGTAGAAAAGTTTATAGTATATCTGTAACATTCTCATAGACTTGTAATTTTTTTGAGAATTCTAAAATTTAGAAATCTGTAATTATGACATTTTTTTCTTTTCTTACATTTATATATCTGTTTTTGTTGTTCTGTTTTGTTTTGACAGGGTCTGGCCACAAACTCGAGTTCTGGGATTAAAGGTATAACAGCCAGCTATAATATACTTACATAGGGTTTTTAACAAATCATATCTATATCTGTATCCCTTAAGTTCATGGACCATCAACATTGTCAAAGTTTTCCTCTTCAGCATTAAATATGACAAGAACAACATCAACAGCAACAAAACCAGCAGGTAAAGGCCACTAAGTCTGACTACCTGATTTCAATTCCACATTGTAGAAGGAGAGAACCAACCTCAAAAAGTTGTCCTATGGCCTCTACATCAATGCTGTGGCATGTGGACACACACACACACACACACACACACACACACACACACACACACACCATTTTTCTTTAAAATTTTTTTTTATCACCTCTCTATGTAACGGTGTCCTAAGAGCCCAGCATATTACTCTATGTGAGTGTCCTAAGAGCTGAGTATGGTGGCACAGGTCTGTAATCACAGACATTCAGGAGGCTGAGGCAGGAAGATCACATGACCAGAGGCTTTTGTGGGCTACAGAGTGAGTTCAAGGCCAACCTGGGCAACTTCGTAAGATCTTGTCTCAAAATAAAAAGAAGTCAGGGCATACAGCTCAGTGTAGCACCTGCTTAACATGTGCGAGATCCTAGCTCCAATTCTCAGAATGGGTGGGGGTGGAGGTGGGGGTGTTGAGAAGTGAGGGTGTTGGCTATGTACATTCACGAGCTTTGTGGGAAGATCAGCCTTACAGCACATAGGTGAGCTAAAGTCTACCACCCAGGACAACATTAACTGGGACTTAACAAATACTTGTGAATAACTGAGACTAAACGTCATACTGTCAAATGTGAAGAGACTGTTTTGCACTTAAAGCATATGGTATGCAGTAGAGCTTTGTGGGAGGGGTCCAGAGAAAGAGGCCTAGCTGGTTGCATGACAAGCCAGGAGAATACTGTGAGCACACTTCGTGAGCTTGTCTGGAGCACAAGGGGGAGACCATGTGAATGTGTGCTGTGGAGGCAGGCAGTAATTCTGGGTTCCAGTTAAGAAGCTTCTACAAAGATGAGACCTGAGATGATGGTAGACAAATACATGTATGTTTACAAATGCCCACAGTTTCAACAATGACAGCGGATTGTTATAGTGAGTGCTTTAAAGTCTTAACTTACCTGAAATTCACCCATTATCTTGTTCCCAGTTAACATCCTTGGCGCTGACAAGGCCAACGTGGTAAGTTCTAGTGACAAGAGCTGTTTATGTTTCTAAGTGTGATATCCTTGTCTGGTTCTAGGGTCTAATTTCTACTCTTCTACCAATGAAGCTTAAGCAAGTAACTACTATCCACTGGTAAGAGTTACATGTGATCACTAGGTGGGGAGGAAATGCATTCCTCTTTCCTCCTCTATTCTTCTGTTACAGGGACACCGTGTTGATACTGATGCTTGTTAGTGCAGTGAAGCTCTCTCAGTGCCGCTCATCCAGGGACAGCCTTTAGACAACTGCATGCAAATGGGAGCAGTGTTCTGCGGTCTCTCCAGACAGGCCTACACTTGAGTTTACATGTAAG